CTGGCGGCCTGACAGTGTGCCGGCCTGGCGGGGGCCCTGATAACGAGACGGGAGCTCTCTGGTGAAACTCGCGCGGGGCGTCGCGTTTCAATTTGGAGGATGCGAGGCAGGCGGGGCGAGGCCGGCCGAACAAACAGGCCAATCAGTTTGATAAGCAGGGGGCCGCCTGCCCGTCCCGTCTGGCCTGCCTGGCCCGCGGTGGATCGAGGCCGCGGGGCGCAGGGCGCAGCCAGGGCGCAGCCAGGGCGCAGCCGCGGGGTGCGCTGCCGAATTGGGGCCAATGGGAACTTGGAGTGGCCGAGGGGGGCCGAGGGGGGCGGCCGTAAAGTGCGGCGACAGGTGCGGCTTGGTGGCTTGCCGGCTTGGCGGCGGCCCCCCACGCCACATGCATGGCGGCGGCAGGATTATCGCGCCGATTCCAGGCCAAGGACAAGAAGTGCGACTCGGCGGCGATAAGGCGACGCGGCGACGCGGCCGGCCGTCCAGTGGGTCGCGCGGCGTGGCGTGGCGCGGCGCGGCAGCGTGTTGACGAGCAGCCCGCTAATCTGGCTGATGAGGCCGAAGGGTGCCGAAGAGGGTCTAGAGGGTGCGCGACGCCGGCGGCGCGGACGCGGCCGGAGCCGGACTCGGCGGTCATGTCGATTGCGCCACGGCGTCCGGCTCGGCGTCATCGGCGCCGCCGCGCACCTCCACGAGGCCACGCCGGCCACGGGGCGTTAGTCATAGGCGGGCCGCCGGCCGGCACGCCCCAGTGGACGCCCCAGTGGACGCGACGAAAATCGAAGTGGCCAGCGAGAACAAAGACGGCCGGCCAACGCCGCGGATGGGAAGTCAGTGGCTGTTGGCGGCACCTAAACAAAAGTCGTCCGAAAATGGCGAAGTTGTGAACCGACACACTATGGGTGACTGTGGTGCCAAGTCATGGTGGCGGCGTGTGTGTGTGTGTCTGTCTGTGTGTCTGTCTGTCTGTGTGCGCTGCGTTGTGTGCAAATGGCCGTGTCACCGTGCCGGGTCCGACGTGCCGGCCGCGGGCCGCGCGGGACTCGGGACGAGCATCGGAATAAAGGAAGTAATTTGTAACGAGAGCTAGAAGCAAAGCCAGGCAAAGCCGTTGAGCGCCTCGGGAGCAAAGTCCGGCGCTCACCGTGCCTTGTCGCCGTGAGTGAGTGTTTGTGTGTGTGTGCTCGTCAATCGCGCGGCGGCGTGGCGCGTTGAGTCACCGGCAGGCAGGCAGCGTGTGTAGCGACGCGTGGGCGGCGCGCGTGAGCGGAATCGGGCAGGTTGACGCCGGGGGGCGAGGCCGCGGGGCGAGGCCGCGGGGCTGCCGATGGAACATCGAACATGGCAGAACGGATCGGACTCTACCTCCCCTGTGTGGGCGACCTTATCAGGAAGCCAGCGAGTGCGAGTCGAGTCGGCCCGGTCGTGTTTGGTGATTGAAAAGCGCGAGCGTCGCGCTGCGCGGGCTGCGCGTGAAAGGCAGAGGCAGAACCCACCAAAAGGCCGATTCAGATTCCGATTCCGATTCCCCCCGCGCTCCGAGTTATTCTGTGCCGATTTGATTAGATGTTGATTCGACTGTTTATGACCGCGGTGAGTTGGGGGAGGGGCAGCGGCCGGCACGGCCGGCACGGGGGGACTGGCCCGAACGCCCCGCCCCGCCACGCCCCGCCACGCCCCGCGCGGGGTTCACGCCCCACCAAGGTCGCCAGTGTTGACCACCTCTGTGGCGCGCCTGGCGGGCCGCGGCGTGTGGCCACTCTGAGCGCGGCGGCGCGGCGACTGGCGAGTGCGTGCCGCCCTGCCGCCTCGTTGGCGGCGTCTGTGCTGTATCAGTTTATCGGTATCGCTAGGCCGAGAGAAAGAAGAAGGTGCGTGGACGAGCACGTGCGCGAGGCGCGGCTAGGCGAGGTCGAAGGAAGCGATTCGCACTCGGCACCAAGGTCGCAGTGCGCCAGATATAGGCGTCGTCGCCGCCGCCGCGTCGCCACGCACCTCGAGCCACGTGGAGCTGCATGCGGTGCAGGCGGTGCAGGCGGTGCAGGCAGGCAGGCACTTAGCGCCTCGCCGTGGGCAGCCGTGGCGAAGGGCGGCTTGGAAGCGAAGCGCACCCTGCTCGCCGTGGAGGCCGCGCCTGGCCGAGCCCACTGACGGCCTGACCCCGTCGGTCGCCATGCACGCTGCACTTGCAGCTGGCGCGGCCTAGAGTCCGACGACGCCGGTGCGGTCTGCGCGCTGCGGCGGTGCGCGCGTTCCGTGTCGACGTCGTCTCGAGCCCCAGTGGTGGCAGCAGAGGCCCCAAAAAGAGAGAAACGCAAATGGGGTTGCCTGTTTGAATAGGAGGGCCTGCGTCTGCGTCCCGATAAGAAAGGGATGGCGAGATAAGCGGCGAGTAGGACGGCGTTGGGGGAAGGGGGGGGGGCGTCGCCGTGACCCACTAATTTCCGAGGGAGCCGACTAACAAGTGGCGCGGCGTGGCGGCCGCGATGACCCCCGCGATGCGTGCGTCGCAGTCGCACGCACGGCCACGCGGCCACGCCTCGCTGTTGTTGTTGTTGCTGCCGGCCGCTTCGAGTCCGCGGGAACACGCGGCCTGTGTCGGTCCCTTTTGTTGTTGTCGCTGCCCGCCGGCGGAAACGTTGTGGTCGCACCTTCGAATTCGGTAATTGCTTATCTGGGTGTTTGGCGGCAGCCCGCCGCCCGCAAATATTTGGAGTGGTGGTGGGGTGCCGGACCTAGACCCCGGACTCGGAGCAGGCCGACGGCACGGTGGGGGGGCTGCTGGCGCTGCCGGCCCGTGGGACTCGTGCAATTTGCGAGAAACCTCCAGATTACGATACACTCGGCCAAGTTTTCGCCGAGCTCGGCCCCGCGCCGCCCCCCGCGCCGGAAGTCGGGCCGTATTAGACACAAATGAGGGGAACCAGAAAGCCCAGGGGGCTGGACTGCTGGACTGGAGAGGATGAGGGCGAGGCGAGAGCGGCAAAGAAGAAGAAAAAGCGGGGGAGCTCGTCAAGCCCACGACGACGGCGACCTGGTGGTAATCCAATTGGAAGTAGAATTCTAAGTCGCGCCACGCAACGCCACGCCCGTTCCCAGCGCCCCGCCCCGCCCCGCATTGTCCGACCACGTGTGCTGCCACAGGCTCGTCAGTGACAGGTGCGGGTGGGAGTGAGTGCACTGTGCGCGCCGAGCTTCGAGGGCCGAGGCTGCCGATGCTAGAGCAGGCCGCGGCCTGTTCTCGGCACTGGGTTTGGTAAGGGCCGCGACCGCCGCGACGCGGTGCCCTGGCTGGGCTGGGCGGCATGGTGCTCTTGACCGCGGCCAACGCGCGTGCAATGTGCGCACGCCCGGGCGTATGCTAAGTATGTTTTCCAGCGGGGCGAAGCGAAGCGCGAAGCAGGCGGAGCGTACCGCGGCGCGGCTCGGACGGGCTTGGCCAGCAGGCCGTGGTATTACAGACGGCGCGTCCCGCCGAGGGGTAATGATAGTGCGATTCCCAGGCGGGCGGGGCGGGGCGGGGCGGCCGGCCAGTCGCTGCTACCAACCCGTCGACCTTCAGCGCGGCGACGCGGCCGGCCAGCAACCGGCCTGGAGCGGCGGCCGTGCAGCGCGCAGCGCCGCCAGTCCTGCAGGGAGGACTTCTATACGCACGCTGGTGCTGCTGCTGAAACTTCGAAATGAACTCGAAATTTGTTTCGGGAGAACAGTTGGCTCTGGCATGGCAGCGCCGCTGAAATGCCTCTTTTCGCGTTTCCGGCGTGGCCTCGGTTCAATTCCCGCCGGGGGCGCTTGAACTTTGAGACGTGATGCTCATCTGGCCTCGTTTGCTCCGTTCTGACGTGGCGTTCTTTCTCTTTTGCGTGGAGCGCCGGGGGCAGTCGGGGGGCCGAGGGCTTGGCTGCAAAGCGCTGCAAAGCGAGGCGAGGCGGGCGAGGTTGCGGCAGTCAAGCCCGGGCCGTGCCAAGTTTGAAATCCCACCTGTGCGTGCAGCCAGGGGCCGGGCCGGGCGGGCCGGGCCAGACAGGGTGCCGGGCCGGGCCGGGACTAGAAACTAGAGTCCTGTGCCAAGACTTGGTCCGAGACGGCACGGGGCTAGGTTTGAGCCGCTCGCGCCCCGCGAAGGTCCCGAAGGTCTCGAAGGCTCTGACAAAGAGCCAAAGCCTGGCCGGCCGATGCGGTGGTACGGTGCGGTGCGGCGGGGCACTTGGTGGCACCAGACCGCCAGACGCATTGAGCATGTGGTTTGCTGCGCTGAGCCTGCGCCGCGCCGCTGCAGCCGCTGCGGGCCCCCACACCCAGTCTTGCCTTTTTCAGCGCGGCCGTGGCATGGCGGCCGAGACCGGCCGGGACCGGCGAGACGCAGGACTTGTCGAGACTCGCTTGGGCCTTCCCCTCCCTTCCCCCAGCCCGCTGCCCGCTGATGTCACTAGAGTTACCTGTCCGCCTTGGTGCGGCACGGCAGCGCACGGTGCAGCACAAGCAGAGCAGGCCGCCGGTGAGGTCGCGGCCCGCATTTCGCCCGCATCGCGACGCCCTTCCCTTCCCGGTCCCGGCTGGTCCCGGCCGGCCTGCATGGCCTTCCCTGCGGTTGCGTCGGGGCCGGCGGGCCCGGCGGGGCGATACAGTGTGCTGTGCGAGGGCCGAGGGCACTGAGAGCGCGCCCGGCCCCAGCCCGGCTGTGTTTTTGCAACACCGGCCCGTCGCCCTCCTGTAGTGCGGGAACTTTACCCCTTCAGGCCAGCAGTGCGAACCACACGACGCGGCACGCGGCCCGCAGCCGCAGTCACCCGCAGCAGCCTGTCCTGTGGCTCGGCCCGGCCCGGCCCGAGTCGTAATGTCAAGGACAGCGGCCAGGCTCGCCTCGCGCTGCCCGCCCCGCGCCCCGCTCGGCTGCTGCGGCAGATGGTTTCTGCATTACTCGGTCATTCCCCGTCGCCGTGAACCCTGAACCGTGAACCCTGCTCTAACGTAGCGTTTCGCCTCCCTCCGTGTTGCAGGGCGAGAGGACTTGTCGCCGCCGAGCAGCCTGAATGGCTACTCCATGGACAGCTCGGACGTGAAGAAGAAGAAGTCCGCGGCGCCCCGTCAGCAGGAGGAGCTGTGCCTGGTGTGCGGGGACAGGGCGTCGGGCTACCACTACAACGCGCTCACCTGCGAGGGCTGCAAAGGTGAGGACGAGACGCAGATGAGGATCGAGACCGCCTTCCTCTCCGCTTTTGGTGTGCTGACGCTGCCTTTGGCTGTTGCAGGCTTCTTCAGGAGGAGCATCACGAAGAACGCGGTCTACCAGTGCAAGTACGGCAATGGCTGTGAGATTGACATGTACATGCGGCGGAAGTGCCAGGAGTGCAGGCTCAAGAAGTGTTTAGCGGTCGGCATGAGGCCGGAATGTAAGTTTACTCGCCTGGCAATGGCAAGGACCGAGCCAATCCGTGTGCAGAGGACTCATTCCCTTATGTCTTGTCGCTTCGCAGGTGTCGTACCTGAATACCAGTGTGCAGTCAAGCGGAAAGAGAAGAAAGCCCAGAAAGACAAGGACAAGCCTAACTCCACCACAAATGGGTCTTCGGATATCATTAAAGTGGACGAACAGGGCAAGGTACATACCTCTTACTTATACATCACAACTAGGGTGGTGTACTAGTTGATGAATGCTTTCTAACAATTTTGTTTCTTTCAGTTCTGTTTGGCTCAGGTGGATTCCTGCTACAGTGCTGCTAATGGAGGCACTAGCAATGTTGATAAAGCATTCCCAGTGCCTGTGAATGGCGTGAAGCCAGTCAGTCCTGAACAGGAGGAACTTATTCACCGTTTGGTTTACTTCCAAAATGAGTTCGAACACCCCTCAGATGAAGAGCTGAGACGCGTCAATGTAAGTTCGACATTCTGAATTACTTTTCTGTACTGTTTTCATTCATGCCATTTATGATCAACACGATGTTTGCTCTCTCTTTAGGTGTCAAGTATAGACATTCAAGACGATGGTACAGTTCGGTTCCACAACATCACAGAAATCACTATTCTCACCGTTCAACTCATTGTGGAGTTTGCCAAGCGGCTTCCTGGTTTTGACAAACTTCAAAGAGAAGATCAATTGGCACTGCTTAAGGTACATGCCATGCCCAATACAGGGCTCTATCCACTCAAGAAATATATCCAGTTTTGATTACCCTCTTGCGCTGGGTCGTTTGCGTTTGAAAGTAAATCTTCAACTTGTTTCCCTTCTCAGGCGTGCTCGAGTGAAGTCATGATGCTGCGAATGGCGCGGTGTTACGATGCGGCCACAGATTCGATCGTGTTTGCGAACCACGAACCGTACAACCGATCGGATTATCTTCATGCTGGATTCGGCGACGTTGTGGAGGACCTGTTGGCGTTCTGTCGCCACATGTGTGGTCTGCGAGTGGACAACGCGGAGTATGCCCTTTTAACTGCTGTGGTAATATTTTCAGGTAAGTGTTCTCTTTCCTGGCATTGTTCTCTCATTTTGATTTTTGTCCTTAGGAGAAACTAACCTGTATTGTTTTCTCTTCGACATTGCAGATAGACCATCACTTAATGAAGGTTGGAAAGTAGAAAAAATTCAAGATATTTATGTAGAAGCCCTCAGAACATATATTGAGAATAGGAGACAGCCCCGGCCAACCACCATCTTTGCCAAGCTGCTCTCAGTTCTTACTGAACTGCGTACGCTGGGAAATCTGAACAGTGAACTGTGCTTCTCCTTGAAGATCAAGAACAAGAAACTTCCTCCTTTCCTGGCAGAGATCTGGGATGTTGCGGTGTAATTGTGTGTTTCTGTGTTAGAACTGCATTTTGCAGCCCCAGAATGAACCTCAGTGAACTCATCTTGCATCGATTTGTGTGGTCTGGGTGTGGACATGATGCTGTTCTTTCTCCTCAAGTGTTACTGTGTGTGAGAAGAAGATGCAAACCTTCATGCACATACCAAGACGACCCAAGCATTCAAGAGCAATTCCAAAGTACACTACTACGAGAGCTATGAATCCCTTTCATGTTCTGTGGTTTTCATAGATCTCTCACAACAATTTTGGAGATTTCTGTGGGTTAGTCAGGAATTTCACTCCTTAGTGAGATGAAATTGCTTTAAGAAGTGATCGAAAGTGATTTGTTACCCCCTATCTGAATGTGGCACCCTTTAAAGGTTGTGATGAGAATGGTTATGTTTGAAACTTTTTATTATATTATTATTAATATTATTATTATTACTATTATTACTATAATTTGGTTATTTGGAGGTGAATATAGGCTGGAGATTGAACCATCCTCCGATTAACGCCACCAAAATGCAGGCTGTGAAATAAATACATAAACCTACTAATTTTAGCATGAACTTTGTATAAAAATAATGTACAAAAGTTTGTGTAGTTAGAATTTTAGCTCATGAGGAAATGTGTTTAAAAACATATGTAAAGAATCTATTATATTGTAAAAAGAAATGTGTAGGTTGATTAGAAAGAGTTTTTATGATTGTAAAGCATGCCTATAGCACAGAAAAAAGTGATGATTGTTGAATGGTATTAAATATTTTTGAACAGAGATATAAATATTTATATTAAAAGCATTGACAAAACCAAGAATGAGACAGTGATAAAAATTGGTGCCTTTTCTGTAGCTTTGACACTGGTGCAGCAAAATTTGATAATTGGGTATTGAATGAAGATTTGGAAGTCGCAGAGAGATATAGTCTGGCCTCCGACTGAGTATGACATACCACCATGCTCCTATCACAGCATGTAACATCTTTAAATAACCGTCCGTCGTACTTTTATAAGAACTCTGAAGTTTTTTGTTAAAATCTAGTTTGTGTCCTGAAGCCTATTGCAACACTCCTGTGAAATGAGGTAGATGCTGTATCCCCATGTTCGATTTGGAAGTGAAGATTGTGAGTGAATGACAGCGCATTCGTTATCTCAACTCTTATTTCCTAGTACATTCTTACCTATTATGTATATGTTATGGTTTTCATATATTCACTGACATAAGTTCTCAATAGCACGTAATAGTCAAACTTCAGGATTACCGAAAGTATTTTTTCCATGAAAAAGTACTGGCAGTACAAATCTTTGCATTATGTTTCCCTTCTGTTTCTTTTATTTTTAAATTTTCTGTATCTTTATGGTATTAAGAAAATTCTTGAACTATTTCTGACTGATAGAACTCTTCAGGAATATACTTCTGCTTTATCACAATTTGTTTACTTGTTAGAAAATTCTGTTAATAAAGATTTTTGTTTACAATTTTGGTAAAAAAACAACAAAAATTAGTTTTTTTTTGTTTTTCTTTAATTCTACCTGCCTTGAAGGAGAATACCTCATTCGCAATATACCTGGAGTTTGATATGTTAAAACTGCCATCATTTGAAACCTTTAAACCTTTTGAACATTTATGGACTGGTAAACCTCAAACAATGTCCATATGGCATCACATGAAGCTCACATCCAGGTATTGAATACCTTAGACTTTTTACAAGTACTGGTATTATTATCTTGGTTTGAGTGTGTATTGCTCCTCCACACCACTTTTGTACATCAATTCAACAACATTGTGCTTTACTACAATATTTTAATTGTGAATCTCTGTCTTTTACTTTTTAAAAAATTACATCTGGGAACTTAAATGGAAGAAATTGTCTTTGGTATGATTCTATTTGGAAATGAAAGTAATACTTATAGTCTGTAATGAAAATCAACTGCCTAAATTTGCTCTCAATATTTCTAGTTCAGTTGTGGTTTTGCTCTATGAAAGAGTACTACATTTTTAGACTTGAGATATTTGCCTTTGTGTACATAAGCATTATTCTCTTTGATATGTGTTGTCATCTCATAAAATCAAAGTTTTGTAATATCAGACTAGTGGTAACCCAGTCCACCTCTTTAAAGGGGTGAATAATTAAAGAACACTGCCGTTTTGAACATGTTGGACATACAACACTGCATTTTGCATTTAACTACAAATCTTCTATTATGCCTTTTTATCGCCACTTTGTAATCTAAAGCTTGGTCATTCATAGATTTCAGAGAGTTTTCAGTGTTTGGGGTATGTCAAATCTTCGGATACTATGTGTGAAGAGTTTGAGATGTTACTTTGATACTGATCACACCTGTGTTAATTTGAGATGCCCATATTCTCATTGATGGGTACAAAACATGCTATGCTATGGTGAAGCACTGAAAACTCTCATTTGTAATGCAGGAACTTGATCACTGCCATGTAACCTTTCATTAACATTTTATCCAGTTCCCTTCCTATTAGTAGACTGCTGATGTAATGTGTTCAGTCTGTAGATCCTACCATGCATCTTCTGCGCCTTAAATACCTAGCACTGCTTTTAAGTAACTCTTTCTCTGTGTTAATCTTCTCAATACTCTTAAAGCAGTAAATATCACTGTATTTTCTTTTGTAAAAAAAAGTAGCCATAAAGAGAAAAAAAAAAGAATAACCATGAGGTCTTTTACCCATGTGGTAAATAAGTCAGAAACTAGTAGTATACCATTCATTGAATTTGTGATAATTATGAAATTTTTACCTGTATTCATTTTTCTTTTAATTGGACATTTTGAATTATGGGATTTTAGTTGTATTGGAGTCATGCTTTTTGAAGCTTGCCCTATGAATTAGGAATTTTCTTGAAGAAATCTTCCCTTGAATCTCTGTTGATTCATTTTGGGTGCATGAAATATTCTCAAAGAAAACAAACTTTTTTTACATCTTCTACATGTTGATTGCATGGCTGTAGGAATGGAAAAAGAAGGTCATGACTTATGAACTGCTGATGGGAACTGATAATTTGATGGTATTGTCGAGTAGACATTTATCTTTAACACTGACTGAAGGAAAAAGAGTGAGTACATGAAAGCAGCTATATACTCCAGCACTGCCAAGATTTTAACAATATTAATATGAAAATGTTTTTGCTACCTCTTTGAATGGTTATTTGTTGGACTCACTGCCTATAACTCTGCATGGATTGATGATCAAGATGTATTTGTGAGGGACTCTAAAGTTATCAACTGGCTTATTTACCACTTGTCTATGTGCAGTTTGTATCTGTTAATCATGGCGAAGCTCAATTCATAGTGAGCAAATCCATATTACATTGTTATAGATTGTGTCATTCAGAAACTGCCATTCTTTGTGTCTTTTTTTAAAATGTTCTTTTTCATACGTATCCATTGTGCATGTGTTAATTGTTACAAGGTACATCATCTTGACTACATTGCAGTTGGTTCAGAAATTAGCTGGAAGTTACTGCACCTAGGTAGTTGGTCTAAATCCCTGGTATATTGCAAACATTGCCTCATTCTACTCTAATGTGTATTTTTGACTTAACTTTTCTGGAAGTTTCTTAATATTTCCAGAAGTAAGCGACTTGTATATTTATCTAGATCCAAAATTGCAAGCGAAAACATAGAGTGTGTGCCCTATGTGCCTTCAGTAATTGGAGCGTTACCTACTAGCAGCTAGCTTGAGGTAAACTAGCATGTTTGCTGCACATAGTAATCACTTAAATTAACAGTATGTATGTTGTAAATTGAAGACTTGCACTTGCCTTGTGCAACCTGACAGCCAATTTAATGGAGACTAAGCTGGAAAATCTAACTGGCCGGTACTGACAGATTTAATTGATGTCTGGTATTTTGAAAGTCTGTTAAAGTGTAAGATTAACTAGGTCCCTAGGTTCCAAAGACAAGACCCTTGGATGCTTGCTGTAATAATTCTTTTCATTTTTTATTTTATATTACAAATTGTAATACACGATAAAAATTTTGGGAAATAATTGCTGTGTTTGGTCTCATCACAAATTGGTCTCCTCTATGTAACGCAAAAAATTGCTCATAATTTCCTAAAGCAATCTGCTTAGAAAATTGAGTCAGGGCTTGATACTAAACTGTGTGTGATGCTTCAATGTAGTAATTTTAGTGTGTGATGGCAAGTCGACCCCTCCCAAGAAAACCATTCCATCCTTTCCGCGCGTTAGGATACTATCCCAGCTCATTGGTTAAAATTGTAGTAAGAGGTCGATTCCCAATATTTCAGCTTTCCAATAATTTTAAAGCGCTTTCTGGGGCCATTGGTGGAGGAATAGCCAGTGATACTGTCACCAGGCAATGTTCGCTAACTCCCTAATCACTGGGTTATTTTTCGTATCTTGCTCGAATTCACTCTCGTTTTTCTTGAGTGTTTGTCAACCACTCTCCTGATTCCCTGAAAAGTTGGCATGGTTTTCTTAAGAGTAGTCAAAGTAAATGTGCAGAAAGTTATCATGCATCCTCTGAGAATTATAGGGCATACTATTTGAAGGGTCAGAACTAGAGAGACTCTAGAGCCTCTCTAGTCAGAACCAAGAGCAGATCAGGCGACGGAAGTTTGAAAGATAGCAACTGTGCTGGTTTCCTTCGATTGAACAACTTTTGTTTTACCATTCAGTCTCCAAAATTGTGTAAGAACTTTCCCAAGAACCTCCCTAAGAATAATGCAACTGGCAATGTGCATAGCGTCAAGAAATCTCTAGTGGCTGTGCTTTTGATTGAATTATGTTCCAAAATAAAACCCGCATGCAATTTGTAGTAAATCTAATCCAGTCAAAGAACATTTTACTATTCTTAAAATTTCCAGAACTGTTCAGGTTTACTCTAGATTTTTTTTAAATGAAGGTATTTATTCCATGAAGTTTCTTTTGCTATCTTTCCTGATTCTTACTCTGATATTCAAGTGAAATGAATGTGACTTATGTGTTGTTTTGGATATTTCTTTTTATTTATTTTTGTTTTTGGTGTAGTGTTATGTAGTGAATGTGAAACATGTACCATTTAAAAATGAAAGGTTGGATAGATGTGAGGGCTGTGCAGACACACACAGTGAATGACGCTGAGTGACTACAGGGACACTGCATGTGGACTTGACTCACTTACAAACAGAATGCAGTATTATTAGACTAAGTAAACCAACAATTCACATCAATATTTGGTGAGAACGGTTTTTAAAAAAAGTGCTTTTAGGTGTTTAACACTTGGATGTGGACCTTAAAAGTCGGATGTTATGAAAGGATGCATGATGGTAGGTTGTGGGTGTGATGCCCCTCAAGGGCACTGTTGTTTATAATGTACAGATCAATGTAAAATGTGAAGAAACATATGATGTATTGTAAGAACTGCTCTTTGTGTACTGAATGGATAGCTAGTGTATGCAATATGATGGTAGGTAGATATTTGAAAGAGGTGGGATATTTCAGTGAGCTCTATGTAAAAAGCCTAAGGGGAACTCATAAAGTTATTGTTGATCATTCTCTACAAGTAGTAATATTGTAGGATTATTGTGCGCATGGTGAATACTTGTGCTGTATATATGTAGAAAATATAATTTACCTTTCCCCTTAGTAGCTTTTTTATAAAGTTCATCAGCAAATTTTATGGCAAGAATGATGTATAGATATAAATTTTTTCTATTTTGTGCAGTAAATTGACACTACAAACTATGGAGTTGTGCATTTATTTAGTACAGAATTTTCCCGTTCACCATCCAGATGGAATTGTTACAAACAAAAATAACATTTCATCTTCCGAAATTAATACAACATAAAACTTTGATAAAGATTTATGACTGAATCAACAAAACCATTGAGTTGTGGGAGTACACTGAATCACAGACAAATACTCTTATCTAATTTATGCAAGGAGTCATTTAGTGAGATGAAGCATTGAGCTGGTTGACGTCAGTATCTTATTGGTTTTGGTACCAATCCGGTTGTTGGATTTCACAAAGAATGATTTTGCCCTAATTATGACACTATTTTTGCGCTCACTCCAAGATGACTTCCTTGAGGGAGACTGCAAACAAATATCAAACAGTGTTATTAGTTTCAAAAATTTAAAATGCTTTGAGCCAAATTAAGCATGCTCCATACCTTCTCGACACGCAGCATCCTTCCCAGCTGAACCATGCGCTCAGTTTGTTCCGCTCTTCTAAGCGCCTCATTACACTCAAATACAATCTAGAACAGACCCAGCGCCACACTGTCATCTCCCTGTCGCAATTGTCCGCTCATTGGAAAAAAGTGAAATTGACACCCACCTGGTTGAGCCGGTCTAAGGCTGCCCTGCAGATGACAGCCTCAGAGGTGCGCTGGTCCAGTCTACGGAGAATGGCTGCCAGTAGAAGGGGTAGGCGCGACGCTCGTTGGGCAGGCAGTGACAGAAGGGGCACCAGCTGTGTCGCTTCCACGCTTCTGCACACCAACACAAACGTTAGCCAATGCATATGATAGTGCTTAAAATGGAGGGGACAGGACGGGCGACACTGACCCGATCTTGGCCAGGACGCTGGCGGCCCTGGGCTGCAGGCTGACGATGTGCACGTACTGCTGCAGGCAGGCGCCGGGCACGGCCTCCTTGTGCACGAGCGTGCACAGCCCGCGCATCATCACGTCCTGGCACCACTGGGCGCGCAGCGCGCTGGCGAAGCGCATGGAGCAGGCGCGCGCCGCGTCCAGGAACTTGGTGACGGCGTCCCGCTCGTGGTCCGCGATCAAGCACCCGTCCTGCAGGGCGTCCATGGCCGCCACGCGGTGGGCCAGCATGTCCAGCGACCGGAGATAAGACTCCTCCGAACTCAGCACCTCAAACTTTGCCTCTTGCAGCGCGCTCTCCGCTGTGTTGAGCCGGTCTGGATGAGAGAGAGAGGCCACATTAGCACCGACCGATTCTGCACAGTGGCTCGTCGCCCTGCCCCTCTCCCACTTTTAGGAGGGAAAGCCCGGCGATGACGGTCCAGGTCCAGGGCGACCAGGACTAGACTCACCCAGCAGCCCGCTGCGTTGCACCTCCTGCGTCTCGCACCACAGGGCGCGGCGTCCCCCTCCGTTGGGGGTTGCCGGTGTCACGGGGACGCTCAGGTCCCTGAGGTCCTTGTCCTTGACGGAGTGCTGGCGCTGCAGGCGGCCGGCGCGTGGCGGTGGCTGCGGCTCGCCGAACATGTCGGTGGGGGGCTCCTTGGTCTTCACCTGCATGGACAAGGAGAACGGCAAGTTAGGACGGTGCCTCGCGCGACAATACACTTGCAGACGGTACCCCCAGCCCACCTGCCCCGTACCCAGTGGACCACGCTGGCCACGAGTTTGAACCGCATTTTCCACGAGAACCCTGTGCGACTTGACACGGAGATGGAGTTGACCGTTCAGCTCCCGACTGGCAATGATGGGTCTTCGCTGCGCTTCGTCCCTGTCCACCCTGTCCCTGTCCCCGCCCCTCGCCTCGCCGATAGTAAGGGCGGCAGGTTTGCTCAGAGATGCCGATAACAAAGGCCACGCCATTATCCCCATCGGGCATGGCCGGGTATGTGTAGCCACGCCAGCGAGCTTTCAGTTGTTTTCTTTCGGACCAGACAGCCAAAGGAAAGCATTGGGCAATCGCGGATCTGCCTCAACGAGTGGACAACAATTTCTAAATGCAACCAGAGAGCGAAAAAGAGATGCGCTGGCCGGGAATCGAACCCGGAACAACTGCTTGGAAGGCAACTATGCTAACCATTACACCACCAGCGCTTCTTGTGGAGGAGGGGATCACGGTGGGGATACAAGCCACGCATCGAGCGCGCGCCGCCAGAGGCAGGGGTGGGGGTCGGCGGCAGCCGTGTCGCGATCGCTGCCAGGCCCGAGGAGTGCCGGCCGGGCGACCCTAGGCGACGCGGAGGCCGACATAGCGGAGGTCGGATTAGATTAGGGGCCCACTCTCTCGCCGACGGCCCGACGGTCCCGGCCTTGGTCCTCACCTGATCGCCGTGCCCGTCTCCGTTGTGGCCCTGGGGGGCCGGTGGCTCGAAGACGTCGTCGTCCCCGGTGTCCATGTCGCAGTCGGCGACCGAGCACACCAGCCTGCGGCGCCGCAGCAGCGCGGGGTCCTGCCAGCGCCTCGGGGGCCGCGGGCTGAAGTTGGAGGTGTCGCAGCCGAACAACGCGCCCACGCTGTTCGCCAGGCGGGGCCGCGGCGCCGCCAACGAAGGCGTCACCGGCACGGACACCTCTGGCGGCGCCGCCTCGGTGCACTGCTTGACGTGCTCCGGCGCGTCCTCTCCCGACGACGGCGAGGAGGGCGCCGCCGCGTCGGCCGTCATCGCGGTCATCTCGATGTGCTCCAGGGAGTCGTCCAACGTCTGGTCCGGCAGCAGCGCCTGTCCTTCGGTGCGCGCCCTCTTGCGCGCGCGCCGCACCGACGTGCGAACGACGTCGCGGTGGAGCCGAGACGCCAGCCTGCGCACACTGAACACGCCGACCGGCACGCCGTCAGTACACTCTGCTGCTTTGGCTTTGATTGCATGACACGGGCACCGCGCGGCACCGCGCGGCACTGCCAGGGCGGCGCAGGGCGCCCTTTCGACGCTTCAGGCAACGCTCTGGCGTCACGCCGCCAAGTGTTGGAGATAGCGGTGGGGTTAAACGGCCGCCTGTCTTCATCGGGACACAAACACGTACTGGGTCACGATGTTTTCAAATGAACTCCCCCAAAACGTTCTTACTTTCGCCGGATAACATTTTCCGCCCACTTTCAAAGCGGATGCGCTCCGCTCCTCAAGGATGCATCGGCTTTCTAGTCCGCCAGGCGTTCACGAATTTCGTAACAGCCACCAGGTGACAACCGGGTGGGGCCGCGGTGTGCGGGGCGACGAAGCGAGTAGAGTAGTAGCGACTTGCCTGGTGGAGCCTTTGAACGACAGGCACGGCGACGACGGCGGGCTGGGCGGGGACGTGGCCAGGGCGCGCTTCTCCACGACGCCGGCCCCTTTCTTCGTCTTCGCCGGCGTCGCTGGCTTGGTCGGCGTGCTGCTGGCGGTGGCGGCGGGCACGGCGGACATGTGCGCGGCCAGGTCCTGGTCCAGCGGCCTCTTGCTCAGCTCCGTCCAGCAGCGCTGCAGGGTCTGCGACAGAGACAGGTTAGGTTAGGTTAGGTTAGGTTAGGTTAGAGGCTCGCGGCGGGGCTGTCCCTGTCGCGGTCCCTACCGCGTCCACGGCAGCCAGGGCGGCGCGCTGCTTGGCCTTCTCCTCGGGGGCGTGGATCAGCGCGCCCAGCTCGAACAGGGCGTCGCGCACCATGGACAGGCACCGCAGCGGCATGAAGGGCAGCGGGTCCTCCGGCGCGGTGGAGCCCACCGTCGTCAACCTGCGCAGGGCCGCGTGTCACAACGAGGAAGATCAGGCGTACACCGGCTGAAGTTCACCGCCCTTACATGGCCTGCAGGTCGCGCAGCAGGCTGCAGTGGGTCACGAAGGCGTCCACGGCCTCGCGCAGGATGATGGCCGCGTCGTACACGGCCAGGTCGTCGGGGCGGCCGTTGATGCCCACCACGTCGGCGCAGGCCCGCGCCCTGGTGCACGCTCGCCAGACTGCACAGGGAGTGAGGGGGAAGTGAATGTCATACCGGGCGCCATTCAGCAAGTCGTCAGAACAGGCAGCGCTTACTCTTTTCCACGGCGTCCGCAATGGCGCGACGCAGGAACCGAGGCAGGTTCTCGTCGTCGTCCTGGGCGTGCTGGGCGCGCGTCACGGCACGCCGCGTCCGCTCGCGAAGCTCACCCGCCTGCTCCAAGAAGTGCGTGAGCGCGCTCAGCAGCTGCAGCCTGCCCTCGGCTGGCGACGACGGGGACCTGGTGGTGGTGCTGGCCGGGCGCATAAAGCGGGGCAGCCTACTCGGCGCTCCTGCACAGGGAAGTTCCAGGTCAGTGGCGCCATCCGGCCTCGCCGGGCCTCGCCGTTGTCGGGCAGCCGCCCCGCTCCACGTACCCGCCACCGGGGGAAGGACGGCCTGGAACGCCATCTGGCGGCGCACGTGCCAAAGCTGCGCCGCCTCCAACATGGCCGTCGTCCAGTCGCGATACTCCTCGCTCGACGCGGGCCTCAGACGCAGGCGGCGACTCCGGCCCGTCACTCCGGCGCCCAGCACCACCGCGATCTCCGGGGCCTCCTCCAGCGACGGCGACTCCGGGAAGCGCACCTCGGCGTCGTGCAGCGGCAGCACCTGCTCGGCGGCGGGGTCTGCATTGTCACTGGAACCAAAACGTCCAAAACCTCGTCTAAGACCCTTCCCGTCACTGTGCTGCGCACCCAGTCACTAGAATGAATTCCACGAAGCTACATACACCGCTAAAAAAGAGTCCTTCGAGCCGGATTTGAACCAGCGACCTATGGATGTCTTCAGACGCTTTCCTCTACAGTCCACCGCTCTACCAACTGAGCTATCGAAGGCGCTGAGAGGAGGCGGGCTCGCGACGAAACTGGTTCCACGGCACTGCGAGAGAGCGTAGTGGAGGGGGAAGTGCCGCGCTTGTCGCGACGCGCGCAGGGCGCGGCTCGCCACGGCCCGGCCGGCCCGGGCCAGTACTCCCGAACGCGGCAAATTCAAGTTCGCTGTGCGGCGGGGCGGGGGGCGCCTGGCCGTCAGGCGCCACAGAGGGAATGCCCTGCGCCGGGCCGGGGGCCGGGCGCCGTACTCGGCGAAGTTAAAAACGGAAGCGGCCCCAAAACGAGTCGGCCCACGATGGTCGCGATACGGCACGCGGCCCGAGGTGTCCGAGGCCGCGAGCAGCCCGCCGTCGTTTATTTGCTGACGTCACGGGGCCGGCGGGCCGGGGTGGCTGGAACCGCTCGCAAACGGCCGCGGCGGAGTTTTGCAACAACGCGTGTCGCAACGCGGGGGCGGGGGCGGCGGGCGTCGTCGTCCAGCGTCGGGGAGCGTCAACGCCCTCCGGGTGCGGCCGGCCGGGGAAGGCCAAGCTATTCATGCGCGCGGACTCCGACCGCCGACACCGCAGTGTCACCTCGGTGTCACCTCCTCGGTCGCCTCGATGCCGCGGCCCTCGCAGGGCAGGGACGTCCCCCGCTGCTGCTGCGGCGCGTTTCCACGTTTCTGGGTCACACTAAACCGACACCTCATCAGTCTGCCCTTGGCCATCATGGCTCCGCGGCTCCGCCACACTGGGCTCGGCGACGCGAGCTTTCGTTACGCGATCTCGTCAGCACAACGGCGCCCTGCACTCAGCAGCGGGTGTCGCGGGGCGGCGGCGCGGGGCGGGGCACTCTGCAGTCATGATAAGCAAAACTTTCTGCCAACTGCGTGCAGAGATGCGATGCGCTCTGAGCAGCAGGTGCTCGCGATCCCCGTCGCGTCGGGGCATGCGTGCGTGCGTGAGGATGTATCGTCACCCAATCCTGCTGGAGGGAAGCAGAAAAGGAGGGGGGGGGGGCCCTTCCAGGAACCGTAGACATGAGATCGGTGTATGAGACATCCGTGGAGTCGCCAAGAGCAGCAAGAGACGTCAACACAGAGGGATGACGCATGGAAAACGGAAAGCAAGGCGAACCATATGCTAAACTGGACGGATTTTCGACTGAATCAGTTCAAAAACGAGAAAATAATTGATTTAAATTAACAATTTACAGATGTAATGTAGGACGGCCTTGCCCTCCTTTGACTCGACAAAACATTTCGTAACTCTTGCCCGAAACGTGCTCAGGGGACGACCACACAACCGACGAACTTACCTGTGAATCCAGAGCACCCCGTTGTCGAGGATGACCCACTTCCGCACGATGCCGCCCTTGTCCCACGCCAGGTCCAGCCACCCCCGCTGCAGCACCTTGTGGACCGTCATCTCGGTCAGCTTGAAGGGGGCGAGGTGCGGCGCAGTCTCACATCGGCCTCGCCCCGCAGTCAGACACGCACCACGCCGGCCACAATCTGCAAAACACTGTCCGCGGGGAACACTGCACCGCAACAACGCGTGTGTGGGCGGTCCGGGCCACTGTGAGTCGTCTGCTTCTGTCTGCTTCTGGTTTGCTGTGCCGGCCGCCGGCGTCGCTTCGCTTGCGTCGCTTGCTTCGGCTCGACTCTGCACACACCACAACACAACAGCACTGCGTGCGTGCGGCCCTGAAGTGGCGCTCGGACTCTCGGACACACACTGGCAGCTTGAGCAGCCGCCCGCCAGAGTGCGTCCCTGCGACGCCCTGCCGCCCTGCCCCTGCCGCCCCGCGCCAGACGGCCGCCGTCAGCAGCCCTTGGCGCGCTCCGCGCCGCCTTCGGGACAGATCATGTCCTCCAGCCGAGGGGAATATCGTGGGGAATACTACAGGATGCCTGCCTACGGCTACGGCGTGAAACTCGGTTTCCCCATTCTGGCCGTCCTCGGCGTCCTCGTGACAGGCCGCGCCAAGGCCGGCCGGGACTGCGGCTGCATGTAGGGCACTCATTAGGACCTTCGGCAGTCTTTGGCGCAGCCTTGGCGCAGGCTATAAGGGCGTGCTGGGCGTGGCGGCGCCCAAACGCAGCCCAGCGCAGCGCCATGTTGTGCACGCGCGAGGCCCTGCTTCTCGCGGCCGCGGCCGCCGCGGTGAGTTGCACGGGACGGTCTTGGAGGCGGGGCGGCCAGCGCGGGGGGCTGAAACTGGAAGCGTTGCAGGTGCTGTCGTGGTCCCCGCCAGTGGTCGCCGAGGCCCTGGCGCCAGAGTCTAGCCCCGAGGACACCGTGTCGCTCGGCAGCTACGCGTCGGCCTTCTCCCAGCCATCCGACGGGGACTACGACGAACACGACTTCAACCCGGAGGACTACTCGGAGGTAACGCGCGCGCAGGCGCGTCAAATTCGAGAGAGTTACCCGTTGGTCCCGACAGTCCCGACCGGGCTCGACCTGTTTGACGCGCATGACGTGCATGACCTGCTTGACCGGGGTTCTGGCACGCCGCAGATGGCCGCCGCCCTGTCGGACCAGGCCGAGGGCGCGCCGCTGCAGCTGGGCGTCGGCCCGGCGCAGGGGCTGGTGCAGGGCCTGCAGGGCATGGCCAACGCGGGCGGCGCGGCGGGCCGTAGCCTGGCGGTCGGCGCCGCCATCAAGGTCCTGGACACGCAGCTGTACGTGGTGCGCGGGCTGGCGGTGGCCGCCATCAGGGCAGGCCAGGCCATGGTGGTCGCCAGGAACAAGGTACGGTACGGCGTCCACGGCGAGCCCCGCCTCAGCGCCGCCAAGTCTGGCCAGTCTGACCCTCTCCGCTACGCGCTACGCAGGTTGCCGACGCGCGGGCGCAGCTGGCGGCGCGGCTGCTGGCCTCGCGCCTCCGCGCCATGCGCAGCGTGAGCAACGCGGGGCTGCGCGCGGGTGCGGCGCTCGCGGGGGGCGCCCTGGACGCGGCGCAGGCCAAGCTGCGCGCGCTCGACGCCGTGGTGCGCATCGGCGTGTCCATGTCGCGGACGCTGGGCGGCGCGGGGCTGGACGCCGCCGACGCGGGCAGGGACCTCCTGACCTCCAGCATCGGCGCTCGCCTTCAGGCCATCCGCTCCGTCGCGGAGGCCGGCCTCACCCTGGGCCGCACCCTGTTGCAAGACCTCCTCGGGCTGCCGCCGAGCTAGCGGCCTGCTTGTGCACGGCGCGGTGCGTGCTGCAGCTCCTGCAGTGCTGTTTGCAGGAGGCGTTTTCCTGTGCACGCCGTTCGTGCCTCCGCCAGCGGAGCTCCTCTCGTAAACGCCACGTCGGCAGGCTGGCTCCGAACGGCACTGCCAGTCTCTCTCGCCCTCAAGGGGCGCTCCTCAGGGGTGCGAGAGAGACGGCGGCGAGGCGCTCCGCGGCGTCACGCCGCACGCCGCGCTTTACGACCCACGGCTCGCACCGCCATCACGCCGATCACCGCGATGTGCGTTCATCGGCCAGCCTGGCCACCGACCGGGCCGGGCTTGTCTGGGCGCCTGCGTTTCCGAAGGGAATATTGTTGAAACTCTCTGTATTTGTGTATAATTATTTTATTTGTTACGTAACGCATTTTAATAAAAAATAAAATAAAACTCAGACTCAAATTCAATGCACACCAAAATTTTCCACAGCGAAGCCCGAACACTAAAAAACAGAATGCGCACTCAAGCGACCAACTACCAACATAAAACCACGAAACAGACACAATAATGGCGCTCTCGAGAAAAATGCTTTGTTCTGAATAAACCGGGATGAACGCCAACAGCGGAGACACTGGAAATTTGAACGCGTTGAAGGCGTTGTTGGGTCAGATGTAGATGACGAAGGTCCAGTAGACGATGTTGAACACGAGGAAGGCGAAGGGGAAGAAGACGCGGCTGCGCCGGTCGATCCAGTCGGCCACCTCGGAGGCAGACATGCGCGTGAAGCCGGGCGTGAGCGTGACGGCGATGCCGCCGAAGTTGACGCTGGCCAGCCGCCGCGACACGCTGTTGGCCAGGGTGGCGCTCAGGCTCTGGCGCCGCGTGCCGGCCACCTGCGGTCAGGCACACACAAAAAAACGTCCAAAAGCACAGACAATAAAATAGGTTGTCTCTCTCGCACCTCCACGGGACACGCCATGAGTGCGAGAGAGACAGTGTAGAGGCAAGGGGCGCACCTGCGGCTTGAACTTGGGCCTGGAGTCGTGCTCCTCCGCGGCCAGGGTGGCCGCGCTGTCGAAGGTCACCCCGGGGGAGGGGCTGCTCCTCGGGGTGCCCACGGAGCCTCTGCGCGCGCTGGGCCGCCCTGGCCGCCCGCCCTCGGACACCGTGTCGGCCTGGTCGTCGTCGTCGCCGGCCACGGACTCGGCGGACTCGCACACGGACGCCAGCGGGGACGGTCGCAGCGCGCCCTGGAACACGGCACGGTTGTCGAGCAGGGGGTGGTTAGGCCGCGTCTGGGTGCGGCAGTGTGTACTGACGGCGTGGATGGTGTTGAAGTAGGACGGGTGCGCCTGCGCGAGGGAGTCCAGGGGCTCCGCCTGCAGGCTGCCGCCCGCCTGCTGCGGCTTGAACAAGTCGGGCAGCGACGAGGTGCGGCGGCGCGCGTACCGCTCCTGGGGCAGCAGGCGGCGGCGCGGCGGCTTGGGCGTTCCCAGCGTGGAGCGCAGGATGTGCTTGGTGCTCACCTTCTTGAGGTCCACGCTCTGTCTGCCGACAGTCCGGACACAAAGTTCCCCCTGTGGCTAGGTCGAGCAACACGACGCTCTCGCACGCCACGGCCAGCGCACCACGCACTCACCCTTGCCGCCAGATGGTGTTGACGAAGGCGAACTCCACCAGGGAGCCGAAGATGAAGGTGCAGCAGCCCACGAACCAGATCTCACTCGCCTTGAAGTAGGACACGGGCAGGGTGCGGTCCGTCTGCACGGCCAGCGTGATGAACGTGAGCATGGTGCTGGAGCCTGGACAAAAAAAAGTGTGATCCTCGTCGTCCGCAACGTTCTTTGACCGATCCTTACCAAACCTGACTTGCACTTGGCCTTGGCACTACTCGACTTACCCAGCAACACGCGGGCGGGCACGATGTCAGGGTCGAGCCAGAAGGTGACCCACGAGGTGATGACCAGCAGCACGCTCGGCACGTAGTAGTCCATGATGAAGAAGCCGTACTGCCGGCTCAGCATGAAGGTGAGCTTGAGGCTGGAGTACATGCTGCCTGGAGGCAAAAGGCACACACCGGAAAGTTCACCGACGGTGTGCTCGCAGAGAGCAACGCCACCTCAAAACAAAACTACGGCCTGACCGAAGCGGTCCGGGTAGTCCTCGTCCAGGTAGCTGCCGTTGACGGTGATCCTGGAGCGCTGCAGCTCCTCGGTGTCCCAGCCCATCATGGAGAAGGAGTCCAGGCTGAGGCGGTCGTTGGAGCTGACGCCCGCCCAGCGCAGCTGCAGCTCGTCCACGTCGTCCAGCCCTGCGGCAGGACAGGCAGCGGTCAAGGAAAGCCGTTGTCGCGAGGGCGGCATGCGAGGACACCTCACTTACAGCTCTCCATGTACATCGGGCACTCCTGCTCGTCGAAGGGGAAGCGGCCGTGCTTCATGGAGCACACCACGCTCACCGTCACCCTGCCAAGCGTCGCCGTCGTCAGCCACAAATTGAACACAACGACAAAGAAATGATGAAAAGCGAGCGGCTCACTTGCGCGATGACGGACCTGGTGACGAAGAGCACGTGGCCGTCGGGGCTGACGCGGACGAGCACGTCGTGGTGCGGCGCGGCGCCCATGCGCACGGACTGGCGCTCGTTGGCCAGGAACACGTGCGGCGTCCACAGCAGCCTGCTCAGGTTGTCGTCGCCCGTCAGCTCCCACGTCCCGGGCGACACGTCCGCGTAGCGCAGGCGGGGGTCCGTGAAGCCGAACTCCTGCTTCATGGTCATCTTGAGCTCCTGCAGGGTAAGGTGCACACCGCGAGCCGTGTCAGTGGGAGCGGCCTGCTCTACCTCGTCACTTTTCTCATCTCTGCTTGGCGCGCAGTGCCTACCATGTGCAGGCGCCCCTCCACGCTCTGCAGCATGTAGATGAAGGTCCTGGCCGTGACGTTGAGCGGCGCCACGCCGTCCAGCGGGCGCACGTGGCGGTTGTAGCGCGCGGGGTCCGTCAGGTGTCGCAGCAGCTCGATCCGCGGCATGGTGTGCGTGTGGCCCACGTCGGCAGCCTCCTTCTCGGCCGGCCGGGGCCGGACGCCGACCGAGACGGTCCTGGAGCCCCAAGGCGTACCTGCGTTACTTGGTTTACAGTGTAGTTGTGACGGTTTTGCTCGCGCTTGCTGCTTGCGGCAGTTGGTGGCGGTCCCTTGCCGCGGCACGGATTGGCGGACGTCGTCATGAATCATAGAGCGGCTGGCGGCACGGCCAAGGCACGGCCAAGGCACGGCGGTGGCCGCGGTGGCACAACTCCTCTTCATCATCACAAATGGGCCTTTCAGGCGCCACCAAGACCCCCAGGTCCGCTCGGCTTGATTTTGGGGGTGGTTATTCCGACGCAGCGTATCCGCCACTCCGTGGTTCGGTGACCAGGTTAGCGAGGCGGCGGGGAAGGCCCGCGTCAGAGGGCCTCGGGGATGCTGACGACGATGTTGTCGGTAAGGAGTAGGCAAACAGGCCATTATCTCGGCATGTTATCAGCCTGTCTGGGCGCCGCAGTGAGGACGCAGCCGCCACCCCCGCGACTGCCTACTGCTGCCTACTGCCTGCTGCCTACTGCCTGCGATGGGCGGGGACTGGGGCAAGGTAAGGCGCGTGCACGCCAACGGCTCGCCACTTGAAGAAGGAAAAGTGACTAATCACTTCGACCGATTATTGCGATACGCGAAATGTTATCAAAATCCAATACACCCACAAGACATAGCAATGCAATGAGACAAAAAGATGCTCTCGCTCGTTTTTTAAAAAGATGCAGCACAGTAAACGGGCTCACCGACTGTAGAGTCGAATCGCCGCTTCTCGCCTTTGCCTTGCAGCCAGTTAATTTTTTGTTTTGAATTTTTCCCTCAAACTCACTCATACGGGGCTTCGCGGGCGGTGGCCAGCACCGCGAGCGCGGCCAGCGCGGCCAGCGCCAAGGCGGAGCAGGACGTCTTCATGGCGGTGCTCGACTGGCGGCTTCAAAGCATGGCCAACTTTGGGTAAAACGCGGCGAGGCCGGTAGGGGTCGGGTCGGCCGGACTCGCGACGCGTAGCGACGCGCTGTCGCGCTCCGTGCCTCTGCCTGTGGCTGTCCGCGGGCTGCTGGGCTGGGCCGCGTCGCGACGCTCACGGCACTGACGGCGACGCCGGGCCGCGACGCCGGGGAGGGGGCCCAGCCCAGGCCGGCGCACAGCGCGCAGCATCCGTCGTGAGCAAGCGAGAGGGCGAATAACGAGACAAGGAAGCAGGGCGGCACGCATCGGCTTTACTCGCTACTTCTTGGTGGTGTTGATGAGGAAGTTGAGGAAGGAGAACCAGTTCTTGAGGGCGGCCTGGCACAGGGCGAGGTTCACACCGCCCAGGTCGCGGCTGAACAGCTGCGTGGCTCGCTGGGTGCGCTGCATCACCTGGAACCCGGCGGAGGTCGTCAGCGTGGTCAGCGCGGTCCATGGGTCCACCTAGTGTTCCACAGTGTACCTGCATCCTGATGAAGCGGCAGTTCCGATCCTCTTCCATCCAGCGGCCCTCGTAGGCGCACTCGGACATGGCCGTGCTGGCGTTCTCCACCGCCTGCACCGAAAGAAGGGCGCGTTCCACTCCACCGCCAGCCTTCCCACAAAGAACGCGAGGAGTCCGACCAAGTTTTGTACAGTGACTCATCATTTAGGAACAGAGTCTACGTTAGTCCTTGTACAAAGACTTGGGAGACGGACGCCCCGGGGACTTAGCCGCTGGAGCACCTGGCCGCCGAAGCACATCGGTATGAAGATGACGACGTTGAGGGGGCCGGTGGCGAAGAGGAACGGGTCGAGCTGGCCGTTGATGATCTCGTAGGACGCCACGAGCGGCATGAGCAGCGTGGACTGCAGGACGTGCACCATGGGCATGCTGAACACGCTGTTGAGCAGCCTCATGCCCTCGTTGAGGCCCGCGGACAGCGACGCGGCGCGGACGAGCTGTGAGGGAGCAGAGATGGATCGGTGCCGTCAGCGCCACGACGGCCACCTCCAGGTACCTCCAGGGTGGCGCCACGACCGCCGCGCCTACCTCCTTCTCGTCACGCGCGCGCTTGGTGAGCTCGCCGACGGCCACCATGAGGGAGCCCGTGCAGTACGCCAGGCCGCGCAGCATGGGCACGCCGCAGAAGAAGCCGACGGGGAGGAAGATGGTGCTGAAGACGTGCAGCATGAACAGGCTCCAGCGGCCCGCCGGCGTGTACGGCTTGGGCCACGACGGGTTGGCCGGCTCCCCCGTCAGCAGCGCGGGCACCAGCACCGTCACGAAGATGAAGCAGGACCACGCCGTCAGGCCCCGCAGGTAGCGCTCCGTGGACGACGCCGTGCGCTGCAGGAAGGCCTGCACACCACAACCGCGGCGGTCATCTAGGCGGCTCGGTTCGTGTCCTTCCCCCTCTCCGCCGCCCTCCACGGCACAGGGCCGTTGCCCTCCACCCCACTCCGCGACCCCCCTTGCGAGGAGGCACCCCGCTTACCCGGACGTCCTCGCTCAGAGCACCGTAGTAGACCTCGTCCGCGTCCACCACCAAGGACACCCGCAGCAGCTGGTCGACGGCGCGCAGGAGCGCGTCCTGCTCGAAGGCGAAGATGTAGACGAGCCAGGTGCAGCTGTAGATGCCGGACACGAAGCGGATGGTGGGGCAGGCGTCCAGGAAGGACGTCCTCGCCATGATGCCGTCCAGCGATGACAGGATGAAGACCGCCACGCCCGTGAGCACGCCCCACTGCGAGGACAAACGCGTTGCAGTCTGGGCGCCAGGTCGGGGTACCACCAGAGCAAGGGGAGGACTTGCCTTGGCGTTGGTGCCGTGACATGCGATCCAGAGCCGCCGCGCGCGCGACTTCGGCACCTCGTTGTCCAAGTGTGTCTTCCAGTACAGCAGGAAGTCGCTGACCCTGGTCATCGGCATGGTGCTGCCTGCTGCTCAAATCGACAGTCAAACAAGCAGCCAGTCTGCAGTGCAATGTCGATGACTTTGTGACTTTCTTGGGGGATGGCGGCGTCCTGCAGCTCAGCGACCCGTCGATCTCGAAGGGGATCTGCAAAGTGGGAGCGATGCTCAGCCCGCCGCGGAGCCGCACCGCTCTGCCAGACCTCCTCCACTGTGAACCAAGCGAAACGAAGGGGCGGTGCCAACGACGGGACCACCCTGCTGCAGATAGGATGCCGCAGAGCGAACACCCGTGAAAGACAGAAAGGAACTGCACAGGCCGGCCGGGGCGTTGTCCTCGCTGAAGCGATGCAGCGCCTCGCCTGGCATCGCCACCTGAAAAGTGAACCGGCCGCAGCAGCAGGATTGGACGAGGTTCGAGGGGTTCGAGGCCGCCATCCTGGAAGTGACGGAGCAGCGCGGTGACGGGCGGGGAGACTGCAGCCGGCGGCAGTGGAAGTCCACTGAAGCCAAGCTGGAGCGCCGCGCGCTGGAGCGAGCGCCTGCGAACCAGCGGGTAGGCCGGCCCGTAACACAGAGGTGCGCACGGCCTGCATAGCGCGCAGGCGCCTGGCTGCCTTAAGACAGAGAGTGGCCTAGACAACAGCAAATGATGCACACACTGCTCGACACTGTTTGAATTTGGTGGAGAGAGAGAACTGAGACTAGTCGACAGCGCCCTCTCCCTCTCTCCCCGCAGTGGGGATGAAGCCACGGCGCGCCCCGCCGATCCGCCGAGTCACACGCGGGCTGAAACCACAGTTCCATAATTCAAAGCGCACCCTGTGCACCTTCCAGGGGCGAATCGGCACCGGTCTGTCAGAAACGTTTCTACATTTTTTACGGGACGGAAAGTCACGCCAAGGGGGCCATCTCGTCGAGTTCTGTCCTTGGATTCATGGCCAATGGGAGAACCTAGAAAATATTCACGCTCTCACATTCAAGTTCTAGAATTTCAAAGCCCACGGCGTTTGGAGGCTAGCCCTTTCTCTTATAAAACGACCCTGTTTTATGAAACGACGGTAACGACGAGGCCATCCGGCCCTAAGTTCTGGAAGGACGCCGGTCCAAGCCGTGGCAAGTCTTTGCTAGAAGCCACTACTTCCAGCCCGGAACGTCCCCTCTGCTAGCAAAAGTAACTTTTTGCACAATTTTTAAAAAATTGTTTTCCGCGTCCTGAGGCATATTTAACGTTTGATTCGTCGCCTCTACAGTGTAAAGGAGAAAATGCAATTCCGGTGCATGTTTTTTTTTTTTTAAGGTAACTTGACGACAAGTTCTATTCAAGGAGAGCCTCGTTGGGAGTCGCTGGGCGCGCTTCGCGTTTACCGCTGTGGTCGTGGTCCGCTGGTCCGGTGGTCCGCTGGTGGTCCGGTGCTCTCGGTGGGACGCAGTGGAGTGCCGCGCTGTCCGGCGTCCGTCGTCCGGGACGCCATCTCCTCGCCAACCCCGTCCGGGCCGTCCGGGCCGTTCGCCACTCCCTGCTGCCCCCAAGGGTGCCCGTCAATGATTCACGAGCCGCGGTGGCGGGCGGTGGCGGGTGCCGGCGGCGACATCAGCGCAGTTCCGCGTCAAGCACGCACGCGACCGCGGCAATTTTTAACGGGGCACTCAATAGTTAAACGCGAGTGCTCTTGTGAGTGTGTCTGTGAGTGTGTGTGTGTCTGTGTGTGTGTATGTGTGTTTGCGCACGTCATGATGCACCGAGTCGGGCTGGCGCGCGCGGTCGCCGCGCAGTGTGGTGTCCCGGCCTACGCCAAGCACCCCGTCGCTGCACGATGCTGGTGAGAGCCGCACGGACAGCGCCACGCCCCCGAGGAGGCACGGGTCAGCGCGACGCGGAGAGCACGGACTTTCGAGCGGGAGGAAATCGCGCCGGCCGAAATGATAAAAGTCATCCGTGAAAGAGAATCGGTCGCCACAACCGCGCCAAAAGGACACCTGCTTGCGTGTTTGGCGTTTATGGCGGTACTCGGCCGGGCCGTGATAAAGGCAAAGACGGCCCGGTGCACCCCGCCCCGCCCCGCCCCGCCCCGCCCCAGCGGCGTCACGAACATCGCGGGCCTCCTCGCGGGCACGCCTTGACGGCTTGACGCCCTGGCGGCGTTGACGGCGTGCAGTGCCGCCACGCCGTCCGCCTCGTCCGGCTAGAGGCGCTAGAGGCGAGCTCGACGAGTAGAGCCCCGCGCCATGCACGGCGAGCCGACGCGAACGACGCGGAGAACGACTCGAGCGACGCGCCGCGCACCATGGTGGCGTCCTTCAACAGGGTGAGCGGCAGTGATGGCGAGCGACTCGGCGGTGACGCACTTGTCATACCGCCCTCGTCAAATATTTTAGGCAAAATTGGTTTTAATACGTCAGAAAGAGACGAATTTGTAGTGATGTTTTATTCAGGAATCATTAGAGTAACGAAATTACGGCTTTTCCACGGCGAGTTGGCTCTCTAATGCCCCCTGCTGATTCACTGTTTGGGCGGTGGGTCGACTCTCGCTCGTGTTTTTCTGTGTCAATGTGTAGGATAAGCTGTGCCTGTTCTTCTCTGACGTGGCCGCCTGGCTGACAGGGCGTGGGGCGTCCTTCCTGAGGGGTGTATGTCATGTGTACGATGAGCACCGCTTTCTGACCCACAGCAGCGCAAGTGGCTGGACAGGCTGGCGCGATGGGTCGTCCCCACCAACCTGCGGAGCCTGCTGCAAACGCAGGGCGCCCTGGACTCGGTACGGGTATACGCGCACTACGCGCACCACGCAAATCGCGGTGAGTTTTAATTCAGACGAATCTAAGTGGCGCTCAAAATGATGTCCATCTGTTCTGGGGCGGTCGCAGGCGGTGGCCTTCGCGTTCACCGTGTTCTTCTTCTGCGAGCTGGCCAGGCCTGGCACCTTCACCTCCAAAGACACCCTCGCCCACATGAGCAGGCACGAACTGAGACGTAAGTGCAAGCAGGGCCACTCGGCCCCTAACCAAGCAGCATTGTTTCGCTTTGGGAGTCGACCACCGGTGTTGCGTTCTGTCGGCAGAATACCTGGCGTTTTACCTGTGGTACGCGCTCATGTACCTGGCGCAGTTCACCGTGTCTCTCCTCCTCTACATGGACGTCCGCAACGTAAGTTCGGTTTGGCCGATTTGTTTTTTTTGGTAGGCCGGGACAACTGAATCGAGCCTCGCGCCGCGCCTCCTCTCCACCCAGGTCAAGTACAACGTGGAGGGTAGGCGCCGCACCATCTTCGTGTTCCTCGTCTTCTCCCCCGTGCTGCTGGTCAACCTGTTCCTGTCCGCGGGCAACGTGCTGTACTTCCCCTGGGCGCCGCTCGGCCTTTTCTACGTGCTGCGTGAGTCCGCGGCCACTGTGCGGTGCGGTGGAATCTGTTTGGCCAGTCGATTCATACGCCTTTCGTCTTTGGCTCTTTGGTCATTCCCCAGACACCATGTTCGTGGCGACGTACTGGCTGTACGCGTTCCGCTACTACCACTGGCTGGGCGACGGCGAGCTGGTGCTCTTCGAGACGCCCCTCGTGGGGATGGGAGTGGGGCCCTCCACTTCCACGTCCCTGGCGGGGCCGTCGCGGCGGGTCGCCGCCGACGGGCTGGCGCCGCGGACAGGGGCACGTCCACGCCGGCCGCGGCCTTGGCGGCTGACGGCGTAAGCACTGCGGCCGTCCCCAGGACCCCCAGGACCGTGGCCGTCGCCAGGCTCGTCTCCATCAGCGAAGCCGAGGAGAACGACTGACCATATCGGCGGGGTGACTTCGCCGACGCGTGAGTTTGAGAAATATGGACTGTCTCAGATAAATTTTTATATTTAGCCAGAGTCGATGAGAGTTACTGATACCACAAATTCTTTTGTACAATAAAGGGTGATACCCTCTGATTGGCTGCTCTCTTTAGGTGTCTAACAAGCTCCAAAAATATCAGGAGAATTGGGGGGGGTCGTGGGGAGGTGAGGCTTTAATAATGATTGTAAGCTTGGGTGACTTGGGTTCCAGGACCATGCCACATATTTGTTTTATTTGATTATATGGCACATACATTATTATTACAATATTGCAAGTGACATCTAATCATGATTACCTCAGTCAACAGAACACACAGTACACAATACAGATATATCACACATATTTGTAGCCTTTTTGCCAGAGACTAGAGCAATACTCATTGCTAGAGCAACTTTAAATAAGAATATCGATCCCAAAAGATCAAAAATATGGAAAGAAGTCTAGAATGACGAGTTTAATGAGGTGTGATACAGAAAAATCCAGCAAAACTATGAAGATACTTTTTGTTCAACAGCCACTTACCGAAGTTTACAAAGTCTTTCGATGCAGATTTCGTGTGCTGAGTCTCAAGGTAGTGCAACGTTTTTTAAAACGTAATATAATATTTCACATGACACAGTATAATTTCTCCCCTCCCCCTCCCCTCCCATCTTAACAACTTCAACAAATTGATCACATAACAAAAACAATTTAGAATTGTTAAAATGTTTCAACAATAGCAATGAATGTTTGTGTAGTCTGCTATGAACTACAGCATAAAAATTTTAAGTAGATACGGAACTCCTAGTATTAGAAAATAGAGCATCTCTGAAGAATGAGAAAGAAAAGGGTTAGACCCTGTATAGTATAAGATATAAAATATGCAACTTAACAAGTTCACTTTGGTCCAAAGTCTTTGGGTGAAATGCAATGAAATGTTAGCATAAGTATTTACTACCTACTCATTTGGAACATTAAAAGACAGAAAAGAAACCATAGAGAAAGAATGAAGAACACACCCAGCAAAAGATTCATTCACAACTCTGACATAACAAAAGCAAAATAAAAAGAGTTTTTCTCTGCCCAACCTCTTCTCTTTGATTGATAAAAATGTGAAAACTCTTTGAAGTGTGATTACTACAAAAACAAATGATTGAAGAATGATTTTTACATGCCATGAATGGACAGTTACAATTAACATGAGCCAGTCAATGAGCATTTCAGGAACATACAGGCAACTTTTCAAACCAAGTTTGAGTGAGATCAAAATGCAGTATCTTTCAAAGGAAGGGGCAGTAGCATATGACAACAGAGAAAAGTAATCAAGCATGAAAGTCTCGCTCATCCTAAACTGAACACTCATTTTTAAAGAAATAATTCAGGTAATCATATAAGTATAAATGACTAGTAAATAAAATAAAAATAATAATAATAATAATAGTAGAAGTAGTTACATCATGTCATCAATCAGAAAAAGTAAAAACTGACTTTACAAAAAATACAATACAAAAATTAACTTTGCTATAGCACAATTGTGGTCATTACGTGAAGGAATGCCAACTCGGAATGGTTAGGACTGTCAAAAGATTACATTGTCACTAAAATATTAAGACTGAGCATTGGGAAAGAAAACAAAAAATGCTTAAGGACAGATTTTTTTAGTGAGAAAAAGTAATGGAAGTAATTTTAAAATCTCTGTCAATAATAGAACATGATAAAAATTCAGAAAAGCTTGCACATTAATAGCATTTTAGTACACTGGGAAAATCTACCTCTGTCACAAAAATTAAGTCTTATGGTATTAAATATGCTCCAAATAATTGATGCAACCTGACAGGAACATTATACAAGAGAATCTCAACTCTCAACATACAGCATCATTTACAACTTTGTCTTAGTTTTGTTCAAGTGAGCAAGCTACCAGAAATTCTTACCTATCTTACAAGTATTTTTAAAGTCTTCTTGTAAAAGTAAACAAGTTTGGATGTTTAATATTCCACATCCAAAGTTTACAAAAACTCCAGTTCTGTTTTGTTAATGGTAGAAAGAGCAGATAGTCATGAAAATGTTGATGAGTTTGCTGAAGACAAGGCAGGCACTACACTTGAATTTTCAGCAGCATGCTCGGTTGGTAGATCTACTGAATGGTTGATACCATATGGCCTCAAATGATAAATAAGATACTCCAGAACATATAACTGGTGAGGTGAAACATAGTGGAATGATATGGCACTATCTGAGCAGCACTCCAAGCCCTAGGAAAAATTTAATTGAATGTTAATTATTATTATACTTGTGTGATGTTCATGATTTTATTTGTATCGCTATTCATATTCATACCTCTTTGACTGGATAATAAATGTAGTTCCAGTACCAGAAATTTTTGTCTACGTGTCCAACTGTGATATGATGATCCGGGACAAAAGGAAAGAATCTACCTCTCCCTTGAGGATCACGAGAATCTCCAGCTTTAACACCAACCTTTTCTAAGCATATGCCTGAAAAAAGATTTTAATATTGTACACATTACTACCAGAGTAGCTTCCACAGAAACTTTTCATAAAATGAAGAAACACAAATAAAACAAACACATCTAGAGTGTACCGAATACATACCAATTTCCACATCCTCTGCCCCTCCATGATCCTGACGACATTTATCCTTGTCGGGAATTCCTATTTCCACAAATCTACGAACTGCTTCTCTGCTTAAAACATAGCCTGTGACAAGCGTTACACTTACATTAGTTTCTTAAATAAAACGGTCAGCTATGGAAAAGCATTATGCATTGAGGTGGTGATGCCACCCCACAGTTGAGATTAGATTAAGATTCAAAATACCTGCACCACCACTCATATACCCTTGTTTAACAAACGGCTTGAATCTGCAACCCAAATATATGGGGTCGGTTGGGTTATAAGCAGAGAGCATGAAACGCAAATTTTCAACGATGACATACCTGAAAGTTATACAAAAGATTACAATATTTCAAATGTTAAAGTTCATAAGTATATGTGTTTTGAAATATGAAGAAGCAGTACTCACGTATCATCATCTGCTTTCATAACCCAATCTACTTGATCTAAATAATGCTTGTACACATATTTAAATGATTCCTTAGTCTTTGACCATAAAAAATCTCTACCCTCTTTTATGCCAAGGTCAACAGAAGGGAGAGATGTGTCTAGAAACGTAAATGTCAAAGATTGCTTGATGCGTTTTATCATATAACTTCAAAAAATGCACAGGATACCAACCATTTGCTGTGCTCATAAATAGCAGTATATTGCACCTCTTCCCCCAAGTTGCTTTAATATGCCGAGCCTTCTTTTCATGATTTCCTGGAGATGTCATAATCCAACATAAAACACGGACTTTCTCTGCCAGTTTCCGTGCCACAACATCTTCACCTAAAGCAAGGGAGAAACATTAACTCCATTAAAACATTAGACTCTGGTTTTTCTATTCATCTTACAATCTGCATTAAAATTTTGCGCACCTTTGTGGAAGTCTTCATCGTCACCATGAGCACCAAACTCTCGTGGGTGAGGCAGCATTTCACCAGAGTCCTGCCCATGTCCATGGCTGTCACTGTGTTTATGTACAGGTCTGGAAAAACAAAACATGGATTTGCAACTCGTGCTTTTGGACAGATAGAAATGAAAAACATGAGAAAGAAATAAAAGAGTCACATTACCTTGGAGGAATCAGGAAATCACCAAATGAAGACATTTGGGTCGAGATGGAGAGCAGCATGAACGCCGAGCTGAACCCGATGAAGATTCCGCAGATGAGGTAGCAAAACGTCCGGCCTGCGGGGGGTCGCAGCAGACCTGGAATTCATTCAAATCTATCAGGGCTCAGCTCACTCTGCCGCTGCGCCGCTGCCCACTCCTCGTCACTCAGTGGATTTGCCAGAAGACCGGTGGAGATGGCCAAAATTCTAGACGCGTTTAGCGACTATGGGGCTCAAAACGCGTCTAGACTTTAGGCCGCCTCCACCGGTCTTCTGGCCCACTGTACAACGCGGCGTCCCAGGTTCTAGCCAACACGTTCACGGTTCCACACAGCAGTACCCAGAGACACGTAGGTGGACATGGAGTCCGGGACCTCGAAGGCTGCCCCTGCAGGCAGCAGGCAGCGCAGGTGTCGCGGGGAATGGACGATGAGAGGGCTATCTTAGGGCGTCAAACGCGGAACGCGGACTGATAAGGCCGTCTGCAGGTCTGCAGGCTCGGGGCTACGAGTAGTATCAGGAGAAGGGAAAGGAGGGGGTCAACAGCTCACAACGCGTCACAGCAGGATGACGGTGTCCTGCGTCAACGCATACGCGTGATTGTCCGCAAAAGGGCCGATTGGCGCGTGCCACGTGCGCATCGCCGCAAGTGCAGCTTGAGGTAGGCAACACATGCAACACAGCCGACCGGTGCGCTGTGGGCCAGATGACCGGCGGCGTCGGCAGTCAAAACTCCAGACGCGTTTCGAGCCGCAGAGTCGCTAACCAAGACTCAAACCGAACGTGTGACCCCACCAATGGGTTCCTCGTCTACAGGGCAATCGATTGGTGGGGGTCACACGGTGGGTTCGAGTCCCATTTATAGCGACTCTGGAGCTCAAAACGCGTCAGGAATTTGTACCACCTCCACCGGTCTTCTGGCCCGGGGTCACTAACAGCCCCAGCCTGCTGCCAGTGCGCTGGCCACAATCGGCGAGAGGAACTGGAACTGACCCCGTCAACACCCGCATGGTCTGCCCACGGCCTGCCGGTGCACCCGGTGCAGCAACAGCGAGGACGAGGCGCGGGGCAAACTACGAACCCGAGCACAGCGAGGCGAGGGAAGACCACGCCGCTCCCACTACGGCCACCATGGCGATGGCGCTCTCCGGGACACACTTTGGGGACTGCCTCTCCGTCGCTTCGGCGCAGAGACCCCCGCGGCCGCGGCGGCGCCATCGCGGCTCGCACCCACACACCCACACAGTGGCGCGCCGCGCTGATTCGCACAGACAAACGTTAATGCAAGCGGCGGTTATCGCCCCGTCAGCAAACGGAGCTGTGCGTGTGTGTGTGTCTGTGTGCCAACAGCGAAGTAAAACGCGCTCCGGGCTAAACGGCGTGCTGTTGTGACCCCGTCAGCACGCCGTCAGCGGGGCCGCGGGGGCCGCCGCCCCGGCCCCCGGCCGAGCCCCGCGTTCACTGTGTGGCACACTGTGTGTGTGCCCGAAGCCAGTGAAGCCTCGGCGAGAGCGAGACGGCCCGCCAAAAGGCTTGAATGGCGACGGAAGTGGCGAGGGCACTTGAACGGCACACGTGTCACAATGGCGGGGTGTGACAACACTGTGACAACAGCCACCGCGCGGCCGACGACGCGCCCTCGATGGCTATCGCGATGCTGCACCCGCGTCCGTGTCGTCCGTGTCAGGGCCGTCCTGGACTTCCCCGCCGGCCTTGGACGCAGGCGGCGCAGTGCTTGGCGCTTGGCGGCAGAGTCCTAGATCTAGGGCCCTAAGTAACTACGGAGCTGCGAAACATGGGAAGGGTAAGGTCATATGGGCTTTCAGGGAAGGAAAAGGGGGAGGGAGGAGCGCTTTATTTGCAGATATTTATCAGCAATCTGGTTTATCAGCGCGGGGGGTCCATGACTGGCATGGAGCTATGTTTGCTGTCATTGAGGGGGCGAAAGTAACACCCACAGTACACATTTGAGTAAGGTAGGGGGTAAGCAACTCTACCAAAGTCACTAAAGGCTTCAGAGAAACATTCACTACATGAAAATTCAGTCCTGTAAGAGGAAACCAGGTGCTCACCTAGTACATCCGGAGTGCGCATCTTCCCAGGATATCACTTTGTCAAGTTGATCTGTAAATAACACAGAAAGGCTCAATAACCACCAGAAACAATACAAAAGGTATCACAGTTGCAAGTTCAAAAGAAGCCACAGAATCGACTACTGGATATTCCTTGCTGTGGACTATATTGCATCGCTAACACACAAGCCAATAATAAAAAGAATGTTAAAAAGTTAAAGAGGCTTACAGAGGCTTAGAAGTTCTTTAACTAAGTGGTGCTAAAAGGAGAAGGTTTCTATGTGGAAATTCAACATGAACAGGGCAGTTCCAGCATACCGAGAATGAATGGCCAAACACAAGCGACGTTCAAACGAGGCAACTTAAATGTAGAAACTCACCATAACAAGGGGAAGGAGGTAAGAAAATGAATAGCTTGCTTTTCCATTAAACCGTACACGAAGTCAGTACATGGGAACTCGACAAGACAGAGCCAGCCATTTAACCTCAACGCTATTCTGCCTAAACGAAATAGGTGTCGATGGCGGCAAGCAAAAGCACGATATTCAGTAAAATTCAGCGAACTCGAGACTAAGATTCTGGCACTTAATACTACTGACACAGAGATAAACGACAATTTAATTGAAGACACAAAATCACTAATTTTTAAGTTTGTTTATTTGCTGCGGTTGGTCTGTCATTACAACCGCAGTACCGCAGTTTAGCCACCTTCGGGTACTTGATCCTTCTTGTCAATGAATGATGCTAGAACCAGGTAGGAACGAAAATTGGATATTTCATAAGTGGCACGCGCGTTTTTTAAAACTACAACACATCCATTTTCTTAATTCTTTCTTCCGATTCAGCCGGTTGGTATGCTGTATCGAGATCTCTATCAAGGCAACGCAGAGCCATCTTGTGGTGATTTTCAGAACTTGACTTGGGGCTGTGCTGTTGTGTGTGTTGAATCGCAAGTCACCGGTTCAAGTCTTTGTGGAATAACAATTTATTTACCTTTCTATTGCCCACTTATAGCGTTTGTATCGTCCTTTCTTGGACGCTTCTTTAATCCTTAAGCCTAGACTTCTTCTCACTGCAGCCATGGTAAGTAATTATTAATAATACGTCCTTAAGTCGGCCTGACTTGTCATCGTTATTCATTCTCACTTCTGCTTTAATTAATGATTTAGCAATGCTCCACTTATTTGATAGTAACTCAGATAGTGGAATTTGTTCCTACTTTGTTTCACCTTTTGGATTTTGAAACATTTATTTTTTCCTTATATTTCCAATGAGAATCATTGAGGTTAGAGTGTCTGGGTTGCATTTTGATATTCCAAATCCTCACTTGTACTACTAGTTACCCAGCGAAAGATTTATCACCTTGTCGTTTTGATTTCCTCTGGTTTCCTTTGGCTACTTTCAAGATTTTTTTTCGTAACCTTTCAGTGACTTGCCGAAATTCTTGATGCTGGATAAATGCTGCGTCAATTATTTTGTATGATCTTTTATTTTGTTAGTAAAATGTAATTCTTTTCCTTGCAGTCTATTATGGAATATAATGGAGGCTGTGTCCTTGCCATGAGGGGCAAGGACTGTGTTGCTATTGCATCTGATTTACGATTTGGCGTTCAAGGAATGACCATTGCCACTAACTACGAGGTACGCACCAGCACCTTTCAGCAAGAGCTTTTAAGTATTTAACATATTTTGGCATCCCTATGTTTTACATTCTACTTTTCTTTCCAGAAAGTTTTTGAGATTGGACCTCAGCTCTTTGTGGGTCTGCCTGGTTTGGCAACTGACACAGAAACTGTTCTGCAACGGTTGAAGCTGAGAGTTAATTTATATGAGCTGAAGGAAGGTAGAAAGATGCAGCCTGCTGTTCTAACGGCTATGATTGCTAATATGCTGTATGAGAGGAGGTAATATCTGTTGCAACAATGATGTGATTCTTAATTTGTCTATCTTTCAACAATTTAATCTGTGTTCAGGTTTGGTCCCTATTTTGTTGAGCCCATAATTGCTGGATGGGACACCAAAAAGCAGCAACCTTTCCTGGCCAACATGGATCTAATCGGCTGCATTACTGTCACTGATGAATTTGCCTTGGCTGGTACTTGTGGAGAGCAGATGTATGGTATGAGTGAAGCACTCTGGCAGCCTGACTTGGAGCCAGAAGAACTATTTGAAAGCATTTCCCAGGCAATGATGAATGCATTTGACCGTGATGCTGTGTCTGGTATGGGTGCTGTTGTCCACATCATGTAAGTGTTGGCATGTATTTCACGTGCAGTAGTAGGATTTACAATTGCATCAAGTAATAAAAATTTTGCCTCTTGCAGTGAGAAGGACAAGGTCACTACCCGAAGAATAAAGACAAGGATGGACTGATTGCCTTTTCATTTTCTTCTCTGTTTGGGTCAAGGATTGATTTTCTCTAATTAAGTATAATAAATATAACTTTACAACATTTTAGTATTTGATTTTTATTCATGAACCAGATTTTCCTTTCATTAGTTGCACATGAGTATTATAACCTGTTAATTTTACCATCTGGATTAGTTTGCTTCCTATGAGCTCGAAGACATTCTATAGTACAAAATCTGTACTGATCATAGTCAAAAGACACTTGACCTGATATATCAATTGCACAAAGGAAACAGCGTGCTAAAACAATAGGCTTGGTTTTACTATCATCTGTAGTTCCTTTCTTCTGAGCCGCTAGGATTCTTCTTTCAGCAGCCAAAGCTCTCTGAAATAAAATTTTAATGAAACATTTGATGACACTTAAACTAAGACCAAGTAAAGCATGAAATGCATGACAGTACCTTTTCCCTGTCAGTCATTGCCATAAAACGTGCTCTTTCTTCTTGCTCTGCTTTTTCTTCTGCTTTCTTTTTTCGTTGTACCTTTTCATGCTCTTTCTTAGCTTTATTTTTTGCAGCTTTTAATTCAGCCTTTAGTTTGGCTTGTGCCTTTTCCTCCTCTTCACTAAGTGGTACAGGGATCTTGGACTGCAACGCCAATGTAAAGAAGAATTAAATACAAGAATGTGAAATCCACTAAAACAGCTGAGTCAGCTGTAATTTTAATAGCAAACAGGATTTTACCAACCTTGGAATAATCAAATTTATCTGGGTTATTAACCAAAAAGTCCTGGAAAGCTTTCCTCGTATCTGCATTTACTGCAACAGAATAAGGTGTCTGCTGTTTCTTGTTCAATGCAGTAGGATCTGCCCCAACAGTCATTAATTCACTACAAATTAAGAAGAAAAATAACTGAGTTAGAACAGCTTGTTTTTCATAGTTTATTTAATATATAAAGTTTCTTTCCAAACTAATAAAATTTGCTAGACATAAAAAATTTGAAAGCAGATAAATGTTTACCTGACCAGTAAGGGTGTTCCTGTTTTAGAAGCGAGGTGCAGAGCAGTATTTCCTTGGGTAAAAGGCAGGTTAAGGGTTTCTTGAAGACCTCCAGGTAATGGGGAAGGCAGAGTTTGAAGGAAGTCAGATGACAGACAATTTTTGAGTCTTTGTACGTCGTTTGATTCCAAAGCAGACACAAGTTCCTTCTGAAACACCAATACAGGATTTGCTGCCTCCGCTGCAACAATAAAACAAATAATTGTTAATTAAAAGAATAATGAGAGGGGAAAACAATAGCTCATTGCCACATTTTGGAGTCAAGGAAAACCACACCTGCTTCTTGTTCCTGTTTACGTAATTCAATGGCAGCTTGTTTCCTTTCCCTCTTCTCCAACAGCCTCTGCTTTCTTTCGGCCTCCTGGGCTCTCAACTTCTCTTCCTTCAGTATTTCCTCTTTGGATTTTTTGATTTGAGGTACAATGGGATCTGTCGAAGTTTTCTGATCTTTGGACTTGTCTTTTTTTTTCTTTTTGCTGACTTCATTTTTGATTTGTTGGTCTACATCTTTTATGGTGTCAGAAAACTTGATTTCTTGATCTTGATATATAATTTCAATATCACTGGTGCATGGGGCCTCACTCTCAGATGAAGCATACGACACAGAGGCAGGCAAGGATCTCTGTGGAGACGGTCTTGACTTTGCCCTGTTAGGCTTAACACCACCCTTATTTTTGCTGCGTCTTGGTGATCCTTCGTTTTCAGTCTGAGTAGGTTTTGCTCCCTCTTGGCAGTTCTTTTCTGTCACTAATTTCCGTGCATCATTTAATGATGCAGGATCACTTAACAGAAATTCAGATTCAGGACCTAGAAAAACATCAAACAGTGCTCTAAAACTTATAATTTTGCTCAGTTATCAGTACACCAAGTAAGCCACGATTCCTATGACACATCCAATAGCACAGTGCTTACCATGGTCTTCTACAAAAGACAACATTCCAAGAACTCTTTTTACTTCACTAAAAGTAGCTCGTCTAGTCGGGAACGGGATAGTGCGGATCCTTGAGTCTGTTTTGTCAAGTGGAGGAGATTTCCCACCATACAGAACAGATCTGTTACCAGGGCCGACAGCTCTAACAAATATTAAAGTGCAGGACTTCAGGTGGTCTGCCCATGCTGAAATGAGGTCTTGGACGTGCTATAAAACAGAGCCATCAAAAAAATTAAGTTAATCAATGGGTATAGGAAGTTGAAATATTCGAGGGGGGTACAAGGCTCCAGAGACAAACCTGAATTAAAGCCTGCTCGTTGTATCTTCGGAGACTAGCTCCAGCACTCTTAGGATGATTGCCACCTTTGTTGTCCCGAGTGCTTTGTGACCCTCCTTGTTTTGCACGGACAGTGTAACAGTGGAAAGTTTTGTGAACAAGTGGTTCTTGACCTGGAGAAAAACTTGACTTCAGTTATGTACAATGAGCAGAAATTCAACTTGACTGAGATAATTTGTTCAAAAACTTCAAGCTTTACCTTGAAAAATACCTGCAGCAAAGTGCCCACCCCCAAGCATAAATATAGCCCATTGGTTTGGAACAGCCAGACAGAGAGCTCTTGTGACAAACTCACTAACTGGAGTGGTTTCAGTACATTCCTAAGAGAAAGTAATTTGTACATAATGGAGATTGCTTTATGGTGTAGCAGCACAAAGCACATTTAAAAAAAACAACAACAAAACATGCCTTGGCAGGAAACAGTAGGCAGCGGTATAGGGATATAACTTGCCCGTGTTTATTTCTGAAAAATACTTTGGCACGGTGATTTGAATCTACAATATCTCCCTTCTCTCCTTCTTCTTCTGATTCAGACTCAGATCCTGATATACTCTCAATATCGTCTGAAGAGGAAAGTTATCAATTATGCATTATACAATCCAACAACTAAATTGTAAAAATTTCTAACTCTTTTCTGATGATAATGAACAAACCTCCTTTGTCGGCTATAACTGTGAAAGCTTCCTCACGAACAGGTGAAAGACCAGCCAACTGCCTTTTAATATTATAGCGATGCCAATCGAGTTTAAAATGAGCACGCTGAGCTGTTGCATTTGGAAATTTCACAGAGCAGCAGGAACAAGAATGGGCATCAGCAACTACTAAATCCTCTAACTGTCGTGATACTTCAAGGGCTGTTGAAAGAAAGTTTTAAAGTTAAAACATTACTCAAGCTCAAAGGGCGAGAAAAGTTTACTACACTCACAAATAACATGAGGATCATATTCTGGGATTCTTCCTTTTAACATGCATTGGGCTAACTCCAATTCAGCAGTGACTGAGAGGAATTCTGCTGTGTCATGAAGACTGCAACCACTTTTCTCCATGCTGAAGTCACTAAACTGCAAGAAGAAGGAAAGAAAAATGCTTTGAAAATAGCTGCTTTCTAAAGTCACTCTCTTTCACAAATGAAACCATATAAATATAAATGAAACAACTAAATAAACTGTTAAAATGTTTTATTTATTTTGTCCTCTCAAAGTAACAACAGGTCTCTCTTTGGTAACAGGCATTACACTATATGAATTAACATCAAGAATAAATATCACGCAAACAAACGAATAAAATCAAAGTTAGCAAAAGTTGAAATTAAAAATGAAAAGACTACACAGAAGGGGAGTCACTTCCTCCAAAATAAAATAAAAGTGTGAGCAGAAATCCATTGACAACTGCAATGGCATGACCCAGGTGAAATGTTGATGGTGTTAGGGCCCTGCAACACAACAGTTTAAGACATTAGAACTACGCTCCTTCTCTCTTTTGTAAAAAAATACAACAAATTTCAAATATTATAAAAAAAAAGAAAAAAAAAAGACAAAAAAAAAACTTACCAATGTTTTTCAACTGGGAGAGATGAGGGAGGAGAGACGCCAGGGATGCAGCGGTCCAAAAACACTGTGCACCATGTGACAACTGCCATAGCTAAGGCGCATGCAATGGGAACAAATGTCAAGCTCGAGATCATGGTCCACATCCATAGTGGTACTCCAAGAATGAAAGTTCCAGCCGATGTTGCAGTCTGCAGCCATGCTCCTGGAAAGTACAAGAAAATATGTGAACAATACATCAGGGGGGCGGAAACTACTCTATCAACCCCTACTTCAAAACAAAGACAAAGTTTTGAAAAAGTAAAAACACTATACTAGTTCTTAGTATATTAGAAGATGGTAACATACAACCTGATCGCTCGAGCCTGTGCTTTCATTTTGAGATAGTACATACCTCTAGACTGCATGGTCTGACGATGCTTCATGTCTTCAATTAAATTACCTCTGAAATTATGCTGCTTTGTTACTTTGGTGGAAATAAAGCAACTAAAAACTTGAGTGGACGGAATAGCTGTTGATTAGATGGTAATTGGGTTTTTTCAATATCATCGTGCAATACAGTTGTCTAAATTTGGGTTAAAATCTCGAAAACCAAGCTATTAGAATTGGAGCCAAAAACAAAACCCAGATAAAGAAATAAAACTGATGCACAAATTTGGAGAGATGGTACACCAGTTGTGCAACTGACAGAGGTTAAAGAGAAATTGATGTCATTAGCTGAAAACGCTAATTCCTCAACCCGAAAGGCTTTGGCTACCTTTACAACGGTCACATTTGACACGCGTGCTCTTAAGATTGCCCTAAATATGCTGACTGTTGACGGTCGACGCCAGCACCGAAGAGGACATCAGCGGCCATGAACGTGTCAGCGCGTCCCCGGGTCCCCAGCCCGAACACAATGTTATGCACGACACACCCGTCAAGCCAAATGCACACTTACGGTCCACAAAGTAATGGAGGGCTTTGAGGGCGACCGCCAGAGCCGAGATCCTCAAAAGTTGCGACGAGATGCTCCTCTCGCTGAGGTGCTCCTTAACCTGCACGTCGGCCCCGTCCCCGTCTCCCGCGTCGTCTGCTAGAGGTGCTGGAGGCCCGGCGGACTTGAGGTTCGCCAGTGACGCCTTCAAGTTGTTGAAACCCTGCCGGGTGGAGCCCAGAGCCCGGTTTCCGGCCGATAGTAAGGCGATTCTCAGATTACTCATTGAAGATCCGTGAGTCACGGAATACCCCCCGCACAGCTGCTGGGAACGGGACGAGACGAGCGGGACGGCAACACACCTTCGCCTGGCCGTTTGCTTCGGCTATTTTCGGAACGCATATGAGAAATTGCTTGCGTGGCAAAGGCGGACAGCGAGAAGTTCATTGCACCCGATTGCACCTGTCGCTGCTAGTCGCTGCTAGTCGCTGCAACCCCTGCAATTTCTGATTCCTATGACTTCGGCCCTCGAGCTCAGGCCATAGGGCGCTCAAGCATCCGAAGGGAAATGTCCGTATACCGTTCGCACAAGCGCCTGTCGAGCGGAGATAGGCAGCCCAACGTACACACTCTGCTGCACAACGCTCACAACGTTCGCCAGGCGGCTGCGAAACGGTTCCGGACGTTCTAACCCATCCGTGAGGCAGTAAAGTCTTCTTCCAAGCCCCCTAAGTGAGTGTCTCTGGAAATACGTGTCCGTAGACTCTCTGCCGCAGAAGCCTAGGGCATCAGCCTGCCTGGGTACGGCCAGGGAATGACCAGCCCAGTCGACTGATTCCGAGAGTCGCTTTGAGCCCCACGAGTGCGACAGAAACAGGGCGACGAAACGACTGGTCGGAATCGCTCGGCAGTTCGCAGTGGTCCGCAGGGCTTTGCGGGGCAGAGAGGCAGGGAGGGCTCCCCGCCGGCCCGCCGGTCCACCGGTAGCCTCGCAACTTGCATCGTCATGCCCGTTGCGCGGCCGAAGCCGAACCTGCTGTCCACCGGACCTTCCACGCCTTTTTTTGCGGTTAAGGCTGCATAATTGTTTGATGTGCGTGCTGGAGTCCCTAGGTTTTAGATTGTCCTGGGAGGGTCAAGACGGCACGAGCGACGAATTTCCCCCACCCCGTCCCCGAGACACTCACATTCGCACACACACACATTTGTCCTGCTTGATCCAGTCGGACAAACACGAGGAGAGATAGACGGGTACAGTTGATTCCGGCGAAGAGCGAGTCTCGGCTCGTGGTTCCGGACCAAGCTGGACGCCAGGGCGCCTGACCGGGCAAGGCGCAGGGCTAGGCAAGGCCGGTGCAGGGCTGAGGCTGCGGGCGTGCCGGGCCAGCCGGGCCATGCTCCACGAGGGTGGCCGCCAAGATGGGAGGAAAGCGTTTCCAACTGAGGTCATCCTGCCCTTCCCTTCCCGCCCTTCCCGCTGGCCGCCCCCACTCCCTCCGTTCCGCGGAACGCGCCCCCTTCCCGCCAGGATGCTCTCCGTGGAACTGTGGTCGTATAAATGTGGAGGGCGGATCGACGGAGGGCATCATTCCACCATGAGGATCTCGCTTCTCCTCACCGTCCTCGGCGTTTGGTGCTGGGCCGCCGGCCTGTGCACGGCCAGGGCGCCGGTGGCGGCGCCGGCCTCCGCGACGCAGGGCGCGGCGCAGGACACGCTGCAGGACAAGCTGCAGCTCCTGATGCAGGAGACGCGGGACTCGATGGAGCAGCTACGCGGCGACCAGGCGGACCGCGAGCGCCGCAGCGTGGACGAGGACGAGCCCCACGACGAGGAGGACGACGTCGACCTGGAAGGGGTGCGGGCGCGGCGGAGCGTCGACGACGAAGAAGAGTCCCAGGACGACGCCGACGACTACAGCGTGGCGGGGCCGCGCATGCGCAGGAGCGCCGCCGAGGACCTGATGGAGGAGGACGCCGACGACGCCCAGGATGAGACTGGCGACGAGGACGTGGACGCCGTGCGCGAGCGGCGAAGCGTCGCCGAGCACGACGCCGACGACGACGCCGAGGACGCCGACTACGACGAGGCCGTGCGCGAACGGCGCAGTGCGGACGACCTGCTGACGGCCGCCAGCCACTACGAGAAGGGCGGCGGCGCCAAGCACAAGGAGTCGCACTTCGCCAAGAAGGGCAAGAAGGGCGACAAGGGCCACAAGGAGAAGAAGTACTGGGACGCGGCCGAGGCCGGCAAGCACGGCAAGAAGCACAAGGAGTCGCACTACGCCAAGAAGGGCGCCCACAAGAAGAAGCACCACGACGAGGCCAAGAAGTACGGCAAGAAGCACTCGACCGAGTCTGGCCACAAGGGCGAGAAGTTCCACCACAAGAAGGGCCACAAGAAGGGCAGCAAAGTTAAGGGTAAGTTTGCTCTTCTTTTGTCCGTTTCGTGCCTTTGTGTAGGCTGTTTTGCCTTCTAGAAATAACGTAGATGCTTTCGGTCACTGCCATTTTTTGTTTTCCGAAGAGATTTAGTTTTTGTTCGCTCATCTATGCCGCCCAGGCTGTGTAACTTTCAGTAGGGTCCTTTTTTGACGGCAATGCTTTCAAATACGTTTTGTTTTTCGCAAACTCGATTCCGCGGTTCGCATTCACCCTCTAACGCTCCACCCTCTCTTCCGCCAGGCTACCACAAGAAGCACCACAAGGACGACTACAAGAAGAACAAGAAGTTCTGGGACAAGGCGCACAAGACCGGCAAGCACAAGAAGTACGGGCAGGAGGACTCGCACCACTCCAGCAAGGAGGGCAAGCACAAGAAGGGCAAGCACCACCACTCGGGCTACAAGGAGGCTCACAAGGGCAAGAAGGGCGCGAGCCACAAGGGCCACCACGACAAGGCGGAGAAGAAGTGGAAGGGCAAGAAGGGCAACGACAAGCACCACCAGCACAAGGAGAGCTACGGCAAGAAGGGCGGCAAGAAGTCCGGCAAGAAGTGGGGCTACAAGGAGAAGCACTGAACCGCTCACCCTCCCGGTGCTGTTTCTTTCTAGTCAGGTCCAAGCAGAGAGGATGCATTTCGTTGTTTTGTTGTGTTTTGTTTGATGAGTCGCCGCGCTCGGGCTCGGTGATGTTGTTATTTATGTTTGTAAACGCGCGTTTGTGATCTTGTCTTTTAATTTATTGAGAATAAATCTCATGGCCCAGGGCCTCCTTTTTGTACAAGTGGTGTCTCATTGAAGTCCGCGACCCCCTCAAAACAAAAACACGTACAAACATTTTGACATTTTGGAACACCTTCGACAGTTGAAAGTAGGCAGATTCGCCCCGCACTTGGTGCTCATTTCTTTCGTGGTGAGTTTCGCATCCAGGAACGTGTCACTGCCCTGGTGACCCCCCCCCTCTCTCTCTCTCTCTCACTCACTCACTCCCCTCTCCCCGGGGGCCCTGACTCCCGCATGCACTCCAACAGAGCAATGCCAGGTAAAAAGTGTGACAAAATGTGTCCCGCTGGTCCAAGGCGGTCAAGGCTGCAGCCGAGGGTGTTTAATCGCCATTGTTCACGCTCGGAATGAGTTATTGAGTCAACCATTTCACAGCCATCAACGAGTTGCAGAGTAATCCAGGACCTGTCGGTTGCGTTGCCTATGCCGCTATTGGCGGGGGCACGGGGCGCCCAGCATGCTGAGCCCGCAGTCGTCACGCCTGCTCTCCCGAGACCGATTTGCCGGCCCTGCTCGAGGCCCTGAATGCTCCCTCGGCGACGTTCTCTAGTTTCAAATACGTCAACGCAGAGAAACAGGGCCGAGCGATTACGATGAGCTCATTGGGATATTGCGCTTCGATAGACTAACCAAGGTGGCTGGAAATGGAGTTAGTTCATTTATACAAAAGACTTTGATCTCGGAATTAACTTTATTTTATCATACTTTACGGGTGCGGCAGCGGAGTGCCAACATCTGACTAGATTTACAGGAGCAGCGCCAGTTCGCACCGGCCTGCGTCCAACACAGCCAACATTCAGTGCCCCTTCTTCTTCTTGAATCCCCACTTCTTGCCCTTCTTGGCGGCGGCCTTCTTCGCGTGGCTCTTCTTCTTGGAGTACTTCTTCTTCTTGCCCTTCTTGCCCTTCCACTTCTTGCTCTTCTTGTCGTGGTGCCCCTTCTTCTTCTTGCCCTTCTTGCTCTTCTTCTTCTTGTGGTACGCCGACTTGTGGTGTTTGCCCTTCTTGTGCTTGCCCTTCTTCGACATGTGGTGCTTGTGCTTCTTGCCATACTTCTTATGCTTGCCCTTCTTGTGCTTCTTGTCCCAGAACTTGTGCTTCTTCTTGTAGTTGTCCTTGTGAATCTTCTTGTGGTATCCTGCGGAGCAAAAGAGGTTTTAGCAACGGTCACAGGCAAGCAATCGCGAACAACTTTGCACTCATTCTAGTCCATTTCCTTACCTTTCATCTTCTTTCCCTTCTTGTGACCCTTCTTCTTGTGGTACTTTTTGGCTTTGTGGCCCTTGGACGACTTCTTCTTCTTTCCGTACTTCTTCTTCTTGTCCATGTGCTTCTTACTCTTCTTGCCTTTCTTGCTGAAGTGCGATTTCTTCTTTTTCTTCTTGTGCTTGCCCTTCTTTTTCTTGCTCCAATACTTCTTCTTTTTGTGGGACTTCTTGCCTTTTTTGCCCTGTGCAAAAGACGCAATGGATAAGACAGTTGTAAGACCAGCGGTAACTTAAATGAGCAGAGATTCCCTGCTCGGTCGAAGGGTGAACCTCTGAGCATTCTGGAGCACACATGAGTACATACATGAGTGCGGGTGTATACACCTGACTGAACTCATAAATTTCGCATTTTTAAACCTTTTAGACTTTATTTAGAGTTTAAGACAACACACAATGCCAAGTCGTGCAAGGAATTGGCGGATTTTGCCCTTATTGAACTTGTGGGCAAATTTGTGCTCCACTAGTGATTCACCCTCGCCCCCGGTGACGTCGTCGCGCCCTGCGTACCTTCTTCATGTGCTTGGAGCTCTTCTTCTTCTTGCCGCCGCCCTTCTTGTGCTTGCTCTCGGCCACCGCCAGGTCCGCGGGGGCGGCGAGCGCGTGCCGTGCGGTCCGCGGGGGCGGCGGCGAGTCCGGCTGCGGCTCGGCCTGGGCACTGGGGTCGGGACCAGCGGGGCCGGAGTCCGTGGCGCCGGAGGCCATGGGGCTGGAGTCCGTGGAGCCCGGGTCGCCGCGCAGCGTCCACGCCAACGCCGGGAGCAGCCCCGCGCCGAGCACTCCGACCTGGCGGAGAGAGGAGCGAAGCAAGCGAAGCGGTGTCAGTGGCGGCCTCAGAGAGGAGAACAGCACCGCCGCCGCCATCGCGGGAGCCTCACCTGTTCGGTGCCATTGCCGGCCGCCGCGTCGTCGTCCAGCAGGTCGAAGTCCAGCCGGCGGCTGTCCGTGGCGTTGAGCACGTCGCCGGCGTCCTCCTCGAGGAGGGCCCACTGCCGGTGCTGCCAGGACCCCGCGGGCGTGGAGACTGCGACGCGCGCGTCGACGGGGAGCGTCAGCAGCGCCAGCAGCGCCGCGGCCAGGACGCCGCCGACGCCGCGCGGGAGGCCGAGGCCCCCGCGGCGGGGCCGCGGACGGTGTCCGGGGCCCTGGCCGTGCCCCGGGCCCTGTCCCGGGCCCTGTCCCGGTCCCTGAGCCGCCATGGGCACTGCCGGTCCACCGCGCCGCCGCCAGTACTTATGCGCGGGCTGCCAGTCGCGCTCCACCACGCCCAGGGCGGCCCAGGGCGGCGGCCGCAAAAACCGGGAGGCCGGGAGGCCGGGCGGGGCAAGGACCGGCGAGACGTTTGCCAATAACTGTGCACAACGCGACGGTGATGTGCTCACCCTCCAGGGCCTGCACTGCAAGGCACTGCAGGCTGCAGCAGGGCGAGCATAATCTGCGAATAACTGGCGAGTAATTGCAGCGCGCCTTCATTTTCGCCGGGTCACGCCGAAGTGTCGTTTCACCGCTCTGTCTCTCTCGCACTCATGGGGCGTTCCGTAGAGGTGCGACAGAGACAGAGCGACGACACGACACTGCGGAGGCACTCGGCTGCAGAGCGCCTGTCAAGTGCGGGGTAGGCAACCACCGTCAGCAGCCGCGTCGAGCGGGCTGGCCTATCCGCCGCAGCGCGGGCGCTGGGGGCGCTCGCCGGTGTGGCGGCGTTCCCGTTGACGCCGACACTGTCGAATGGTGGTTACGGAAGCTCTTTAGTGTGTATGATGTAATTAGAAGGGGGTTCGGGGGCACAGCCGGGTGGGCAGGACCATAGCACTGTAAAGCGGATCTCGGTGACCGGACGTGGGCGGGCGGAGGCAGGGGGGGGGGGGGGGGGCAGGGCCCCTGGGTACCCGGAGGCCCATCGTGCGAGTGGCAGGCACACGGCGTGCGCTACCGCTGCTACTCCCACTGCAGCCACTAACCGCTCCGCCCCCCTCCTCCCCCGCCGTGGCCCTTGGCCCCCGCGCCCCACCGCGCCCCGCCACGCCCCCGCCGGGGCCTCTCCCGACGGCCAGTCCCTACGCGTCCCGTGTGGGAAAGATCAACAGCTGGAGTTCTCACAAAGGCGAAAGCGCTCTCGCTCTCTCGCTCGGCCGGCGGAGTGAGGGAGAGAGGCGAGTGCCTGCCGGCCGGCCTGACTCACGGCCCGCGCTGCCGCCCCGCCGCCCCGCCGCCGTGCCGTGGGTGACCTATGCGGCCACCGCCTGATGAGGACCGGATTGGCGGAGAGTGGCGGGGAGGAGGCGGCGGTCGACATGGAGCTTCCAGCTGGTTGCGGACCGGGAAATTCCAGAAAAATTTATCTCGAAAAAAGGGAGTAACTTGAAACGAAATCTTGTAAAACTGATTGAAATTTTTAATCTTTTTTTTCTGTGGGGTAGTGGTTGGGTCGTTGGGTACACTACACTACGGAGAAAAACACAAGCCATGTTACGATAATAGGAAAAAAAATGAATTTATATTTTCGCTGACATTACATTTTCTCAGGTTCTTCCTTTCGGCACGCATTTTGTCTGGCTATGAAACACGTCCCTTGAAAGGAGTGACACGCCGCAGCGGTAACAGCTTATAAAGTTTATAAAAATACACGAGCATTCATACTATGTACATAAAAATTCACGTCAATTTGCTGGGCCAGTGGCACCAGACTAGGGCACAAAAACGAAACCTGTGGTGGGCATGGCATGGCCCGACCACAGGACAAGAAAAACATAAGGCACTTGTGGTGTTGCGCTCCGCCGCGAGGGGCAGTAGATGTAGAGATTAAGTACACATTTACACACTATTTTGTACATTTCATTGTCGAGATCAGTGCCAGTTTACGCAGTAAACAGTTTGCGGCATTTCACGAAAAAAGGCCTTGGCATTTAACACTCTTATCACATAGGTGGGCAAAAATCGGACTATCGATTAAGTGGCGAACAAGGCACATCCTTAAAAAGTAATTAATATATACAGTAAATTTTAAAGCAATCAATATAATCACAGATAGATTCAGGGAAGTGAAAAACCACAACTTAGGCACAAGTTCAAGGCACTACATTACTGGTAACGAGACTTGTTCACAGTGGACAAGTACAGCCTACGTAGAACGCAAACAGTCAAAAAGGCCACAAACGCAAAAGCTCCCGAAAGTACGCCTTTTTACGAACTTGCCATTCCTCCAGCAGGTTTGAGGACAAACCTACTCGTCCCTCACTCAGGTACGCCAGTGAACGCCGACTCTCGTGGAGGCCGGCGACTTGCCTGCTCGCCCGGCTCGCGACAAAAGCAAAGCGACGAGCCTCGAGGCGGAGCAAAAGGCAAAAAGCAAAACGCAAAGACGAGGCCTGCAAGTCGAACGTCACCAGGGCCGCCACATGTCCCTGTCCTCGGCCGCGCTGGGCTGCGACGAGGCCTGCAGGGGCAGTGGCCTGGCCAGCCCGTGGCCCAGCGGCACGGCCGGGAAGGGCGCGCCGAGGCCGTGTCCGAGGCCGTGTCCGAGGCCGTGGGGAAGGCCAGCCATCCCCGTGGAGGTGGCCGGCGCCGACATGACGCTCAGCGTGTACCTCGGCATCTTGCTGGGCGGCCCGGCCTCGGCCTCCGCGTCGCCCTCGGTCTCGGAGCTGTCGGACGCGCAGCGCTTGAGCGAGAAGTCCAGCACGGACGACCTGGGCCCGGCGTGCGCCACGTGCGCCGCGCGGGGCGTGCACAGGGCCTCGGCGCCGACCTCCATCTTGGGCTCCAGCTTGATCTCCACGGACGAGGGCGAGGGCGAGGCCCGGCCGCGCAGGCACGGCGAGGCGTCCGACGACGTGGACGAGTCGGCGGCCACGCGGGACAGCTGCAGCGCCCGGGCCGAGGCCGGCGGCGTGTCCGGCGAGGACGTGGCGGACCCCGACGACGACCCCGACGTCGCGTCGCTGGCGGGCGGGGTTGCCGCCACCGAGCCCAGCGCGCTCAGGTTGCCGACGGCCGTGAAGGCGCTGGCGTGCGGCGACGCCTTGATGACGGGCGTCGCGATGACGGTGTCCGGGGCCGCGGTGGCGGCCGGCGAGGCCGTGGCCGAGGCCGGGGGGAACAGGAGGCCGGCGGAGAGCTGCGAGGACAGCTGGCCCGAGTTGGGCAGCAGCAGCGCCAGCTCGCCGGTGGGCAGGCGGCTGGGGATCAGCTGCACGCTCTGCACGCCCTGCACCCGCGAGGACGACACGTTGCTGTTGTTGTTGATGTCGCCCGCCGAGAGCTGCACTTGCTGCAGCACTGACGCCGAGGTGCTGAGGGGGGATGACAGTCCCTGTCCGAGGCCCTGGCCCAGGCCCTGGCCTAAGCCCTGGCCTAAGCCCTGGCCGAACTGGCCGAGGCCCTGGCCCAGGCCCTGGCCCATCGGCGGGAAGGAGAAGGGCGCCACCTGCTGCAGGCCCTGCACGCAGCCCGACAAGTGCGCCACCAGCCTCTGCCGCACCGCGGGCTCCACGCCGTCCATCCGCGACACGTAGCGGCTCACCTGGGGCAGAAGAAGCACACTGTTAGGACGAGTCGACGGGGGGCAGAGACGGACACTGTGGGCGCACGCCGGCGGACAAAACTCGAGACGCGTTTTGAGCTCCATAGTCGGTAGTCCATAGGCGTGACCTACCTCACTGGCGCACTCGCTGAAGCCGGACTTGAACTTGTGCAGGGTGTGCGGGTCGGTGGACACGGCCTGCGATAGCTGCTGCCGCTGCACGTTCTGCAGGTGCTTCACCGTCATCTCCAAGATGTCCGCCTTCTCCAGCTTCGAGTGTCGCGCCGGCTGAGGAAAACGAGAAGCCAAGTGAGCAAAACCGCACGATAAGGATGAAAAGAAGAAACTGACGGAATTGTCACTCACGTCTTTCTTCATGGCGTCCAGGATGAGCGACTTGAGCTCGTTGAGGCAGTGGTTGATCCTCGCCCGCCGCCTCTTCTCCATGATCGGCTTGTTGCTCTGCGGACAAAGGGAAGGCCCCGTGAGAAGAGGAAAAGAAGCAAAATGGAGCAAGGAGCACACAAAGTCGGCATAAAACGGCGCGACGCTCCGTTTCGAATAATATCGACTGGCGAGAAAATCAAGTCGAGCTCCCCTTTTCTTTCAATCGCCACGCCGGGGGTGGCCCTTTTAAAAACGAGTTTTTCTCGCGTCGGAATTGACGTGTCTAGCCCTTTTGTTGCCCCGCGTTCGCAAGCCGGTTGTTGTGGGAACGGCGTCGGGGTCGACCTCATCTCGCCGTGGTCCATTGGCGACACTGATCGCGGCACCCCCAGCGACGGAGCATGCCGCAGCAGCAGGTTGGCTATTCGGCTTTCGGATGCCAACAAGACCACCCTGCCCGGCCCGGCTGCCGCGCCACGCGGCCGGTAGCGGATCCAAACGCATCGGCAGGGCGAGGTTCGCCAACCTCATTGTGAACCCATTGCGTGATCCGGGGACGCGGCCCGGCTCACGCGCACCCCCTCGACGCCGACCTGCCTGGGAAAAGGCGTGGCTGGTGACTCGGGTGGCGACGGCAGCAGGTGGAAGATTCGCGCGCCAGTTTGTACCGTGTACATATTGGACTATTGTTTCATCGTTTTCGGTAGAAACACCAGTAACAGCCAGCGCGTCGGAAAGACGACTCTCCCCACCCACACGCAGCACTGCAGCAGCAGCCGTGTCGCAAGGGCTCCTCGCTCTCACACTCCAGGACCATCTCCGGGCGAACGAGCGCCCCGCCCCGCCGGCACGACTTGCGCCCTGGACTCCACCATGCGTGGACTGGGCCGACTGGGGAGTGCGGGAGTCCGCCGCAGGGATCGCGCCGGGTAATGACGGCGCGTCCACGGTGGCGGCACACAAGCAGTCGTTTTCGTCGCTCTGTCTCTCTCGCACTCATGGGCCATGCCCCAGGCGGCCGAAGGGGTGCGAGAGAGACGGAGCGACTCGGTGTTGCGGCGGCGGCACCGCCAAAGGCCAAACGCAGCGCCCTCCCCTCACCTGTTAGTGCCCCGCAACGCCGAGCTGCCCGAGCACCGGCCAGGTAGCCGCCCAGCACGCCCAGTGCGTGTGGGAGGCTGCGGACAGCCCCCCTCTGGGCCCCCTCCCCCCTGCGGGTCAGGTTAAAGGTAAAGGCATGAAGGACTCACACCAAACCAAATCGCAAAGGAAATCGAGCTCGAAGACACAACACAATGAAGGTGATTATGATCTCTCTCTCCTTTCATCCTCACATGTGTGCGTGTGTGTGTGTGCAGGGGAAAGGGGGGGGGGGTCGCCCCGTTTTTAAGTGAAAACATCACAAGGCCGCCGCAGCGGGGGCGGAAGGGGGGGGGCAAAAAAGAGAGGCTAACGGAGAGGGGGCGGGCACGGTGTGGGCACTGCGGGCAGGTAGAGCTGTACGGTCCATTGGGGATGAGGCTCAGCCTGTGGGTTTGTTTGGGGACCATTTTTGAGGTCGAAGCGTGATGAATGCCAGTAGTGCCCCTCGACACACACACCGACACACACACACTGACACACCACTAACCAGGCCACTGTGGTGACACTTTTCCCACACAGCACAGGTCCGTCCCACCTCATCCATCCCGATACACTGGAGAGACCATAAATCCAGGCTCCCCCTGGACAGCCTGCACTGTGCCTGCACTGTGCCTGCACTGCCTGGACACCGGAACCGCAACAGGTGGCGGTCTGCAGCCCTGCCTGCCTCGTTAGAGTTGTTGCCAATGGCTTGCCATCCCCGCCAGACTCACCCCTTTTCTGCCGGCCGCGCTCCACTGACCCCGCCCGGTGCATCTCTCCCCCCCCCCCTCTCTCTCCGCCACGTCCGGTGCAATGCGCGGCAGCGGGACCCGACACTCGACCGGAAAAGAGCGCCAAAGTGTCAGTCAAAGAAAGCCAATCGGAAGGCGAGAAGAGAAGAGCGGCTTCCTGCGCGTCGTTCTTCTCTTCGTTGTCGGTGCCTGCAGTCTGTCTCTCTCGCACTCGCACGACGGGACACCCCACGAGTGCGTCCGAGAGAGACAGAGAGAGACGTCAGCCCTCGGGGGCGGCCAGGGCGGCGCCTGTTGGTTCGGTTCGCCGAATGTCGACATCGACACTCTTCCTTTGAGGGACAATGCGATGCATTACCACGGGACGATGGCCGGCCTGTTCCCAGGGGACTCCCTTGGCCGGCAGTGCGGCAGCAGACCGATTCCGAGAGTCGCTTTCGTCGCTCTGTCTCTCTCGCACTCATGGGGCGCCCCAGATGACACATACGCCAGCCATCGCCGTCACGACAGACCCCACGGTTCCCGGTTCAAACACCGCCAGTTTGCCATTTCTTTTCTCTACTTAGCCAACTGTGGGGTAATGACTCAGAGGAGCGCTCGGATCATCAGACCCTCCCCCCTCCCCTCCTCCGGTCCCCTCGCCCTGCGGTCGCGGCGGGCGGCCCCCTCGAGTGTGGGAACCTGAGCGACTTCCCCCCCCCTTCATTCCGACGGACTCTTGACTCCCTCCCCCCTCTCCGAGTCAAGGTCGTGTGACCCTGCGCCGCGACGCGCAAGCGGCGCAAGCCCTCGGGGAAGGAGGAAGGCGAGGCACGGTCGGCACGGAGCATTCCCAGGTCAAAGGCACGCCCGGGGGAACGCCCAGGAACGCCCAGGAACGCCCAGGAACGCCCAGGAACGCGCGTCCAGGAGCGCCCAGAAACGCCCAGGAACGCTCAGGAACGCCATGCTCAACGTCAGCACGATCGGAAAAGGCTGCGGCGGGGATTCGAACCCACGACACCACGCCGCCATGCCGCCACCGCGAGGCGCCGCCGCCGTCCTCGTCATGAGATTGAAGCACGACAAGACCCTCGTCTCGTCCCAGATGCAGCCATACCGAGCCACGCCGTGGGAACGGGCGTCGTAACCGCAAAGGGGTAATATTGGTAGTAGACCGCCTTCTTTTACTTGCGCTGCTCTTACGAGAATATTTAACGGAAATACAGCACTTAACCAGAAATGCGAGCAAGCAGTCGACTGGCTAAATTTGAAGTTAGGATTAGGTTGCTTCTCAGAGTAAGCAATGTCCAAAACAAAACCGAAATTAAGCACGCGTAACGTACTTGTTGGCACCAGGAACCAAGCCAGGAACTTTCCCGGTGAGAAATTCAATCCACTGAAGTTGAATTGAAATTGTCATCGAATGTCCAATAGTCCCGAATTGGTTCACTGGCGGCGCCTCCCCTCCTTGTGCATTCCCAGAAAAATAAAGTTAGTTGAACTAAAACCATTCAACAGGTCTTTTTCCTGTGGTCAAAGTTCGGCTATAATTTGGTCGAAAGAACTACTGTGCACCAAAAAAATCCACTAAACGTCAGGCGCATCAACTTAATTTTTCTTCACGTGCTCCACGCCGTTTCAACTCACCCGTCTCTGCTCCGCCTTGGACATGGGCTGGCCCATGCCGTCGCCCATGCCGTCTCCCATGCCGTCGCCCATGCCATCGCCCAGGCCGTCGCCCAGGTCGCCGTAGCCACCGGCACCGCCGTAGTCCACATCGAAGTCGTCGCACTCATTGTCACTGATCGGCATGGTGACACGCCGCGGCTCGTGCGGCCCGTCACTGCCCGTCACTGCCCGTCACACACACACTGCCACTAACACATAGGCGCGTACGGCGACACTGCACACACGCGTCAGCTGTTGGACTGCCTACGCACTGCAGCACCCGCAGCCATCCGCTCAGCTCCAGCGCTCCCCATTGACTGGAGGAGGCCCGCCGCCGCCGCCGCCGCCGGGCCGCCACAACCGGGACCGGGCTCGGGCCGCGACGCGCCACCCCTCCCCTCCCCTCCCCTCCCCGCCCTGCCACCCTTCATTCCGATACACATCGTCCTGTGTTTCCCACACCTCACCGCCGTGCCTCCCCACCACCTATGCTTCCCCGCCACACCCCTCCCCTCTTGGCTTAATCTTCTTCTCCCTTTGCTCCATCCTCTACACACTCTCCTTGTACGACTGCTCCTTGTCTCCCTTTCCTCTCTCTCTCTCTCTATCTCTCTCCCTGCAAACAGTTTAGGAGCCGATATGGTCCCACGGTGCGCCGCTACGCCCCGCCACGTAGAGTAGGATTCCTGGCGGGCGAAGAGCGCCCGTTTCGTCGCTCTGTCTCTCTCGCGCCCCGGCGCACAGTGGGCCAGAAGGCCGGTGGAGGCGGACAAAACTCTGGACGCGTTTTGAGCTGCAGAGTTAGTGAACAGCGAGCGGTCGGAGGCCCTGGCAGGAGGGGAGTGTTCAACGCCGTCAAAAATAGATCAGAGTCAAGCGAAATTTTCGGCGTTAGCATATGTTGGTGGATCCACCGCGTAGGTGGAAAACACACAAAAACCCACACATACATACACACACACACACACACCAACTCTCACACACACAGTCCGCCTTTTGCTTTCCTCGCTCACGATCGTGACCGGGTCCGTCCGTGAGCCCCATCGGGGCCCTATCCATGATCTCGACGCGTCTCGACGCCACGTCCGGCCGGCACACTGCGGACTCATTCCGAGAGTCGTGCTCGTCGCTCCGTCTCTCTCGCACTCATGGGACGTCCCCTACAGGTGCGAGAGAGACAGAGCGACGAAAGCGACGGTCGGAATGAGTCTGCCGGCGGCCCTGGCGGCCCCTCCTCCCTGGCCGTGGTTTCGGCCGGGGTTCCCTGGGGGTCCCTTGGGCCCCTGGGGGTCGGGTCAGTGGTACGGCCGTTTAGTCAGCAATGCAAAGGCATTCCTCTGGGAATGATAATGACGTGTCTCGCCGCACCACCGGAGTGGCTGGAGCGGCCGGGCCGTCGTTCTGTCTTCCTCGGGCTCGTGGGGCGTCCCGTAACGCCCCATGAGTGCGAGAGAGACAGAGCGACGAAAACGACCCTCGGAATCGGTCTGCTGGCGGCCGAGGGCGCCAAGGGCTCGGGGGCGCAGCAGCAGCCGTGGCGGCGGCCTGGTGCTGCTGGCGCCCCGATGGAGGGCGATTCTTGAAAGCGATTCGACGCTGTCTCTCTCGCACACCCACGGGACGACCCCCGAGTCTGAGAGAGACAGTCGCCTCGGAATGGGGCTCCTGGCGGCCCCCCGTCGTCGTGGCCCCCCGCGCGCGCTTCCCCCGCGCCGTCACAACTTGCTTGGATTAATGATTTCCTGAAAGGCAATCCCAGGAACCAAAGTCGCGCACCCAAAAGAATTATAAAAACTTAAAAAAAAAAAAAAAAACTAGTCAAAAATAATTTTAAAGGGCGTGTTGTATCGAAATAGCGACTGTGGTTTGGACCATGGACTCGCTTCAACAGCACGAATTTTTATTTCATGTTGGATGAACATCGGTCCGTAAACGACGGCAAAAGGTTCGCATTTTCCTCACGCTGCAGCAAGGATTCCCCATGGCAATGGAAAAACGCGGGAAGCGACCACGACCCACTGCCCCGTCGGTCGACTCCACCCTGCAGACTGATTCTGAGAGTCGTTTTCGTCGCTCTGTCTCTCTCGCACTCATCGGACGTCCCCTACAGACGCGAGAGAAACAGAGCGACGAAAACGACTCTCGGAATCAGTCAGCTGGCCGGATCACCTGGAGCCACCCCTACCGTGCGGTCCCCTAGTCCCCTTCGCGCCACTTCGGCGGGCCCGCAGCGCTGAGCGCAGGGCAGGGCAGGGGTGGACGCGCCGTCTGGACCACACCTTCGGAGCGGGCCGCGGCGTGGCGGGGCGTGGCGGTCGAGTTTGGCGGGACGGCGCGCGGTTCCCACGGGGTTCCCACGGGTGCTCACGGCAGCGGCGCCGCGCGGCCGCGAGGGGATGCTCGCCGTGCCCGCCCGCCGTCTTGGAGGAGGGGAGCACCCCGCGCTACCCGCGCTCGGCGCGCTGGCGGGCCAGCCGGCGTCCCCCCGCCCCCCTCCGCGGGACCCGCTACTACGAGGCAGCTGGTCCGGAATCGGAGCCGATCGCGGGCACCGGGCGAGCTAGCCGCGGCGCACACTCGCGTCGACCCTCGCCGTCTTGGCGCGAATCTCTGCGACCTGCCGCACCACGCCGCCACGCCGCCGCGCGGGCCGCTCGCGTGGACGGCGTCTTGCAGGAGCGCGCCTAGAGCACGCCGCCGCGCCAAGGAGGGGACCCGCGACGCGCTGACCCGCACGCTCCGCGCCGCTGGATCATCGCGGACTAGTTCAGCTCAAGTTGAAGAAAAGTGGCTCAAAAATTAATCTGAGCGCATAAAGCTCACATGGCAATTTCTTCATTCGTACCTTGCACGTGCTTGAATCCGTTAGGTTTACAGAGTACAGTCGCCCGGTTGAATGTTCAAGACTTCGCGGCCGGGTAGTTTTAAAAGAGGGAAGGGCGGGCCTAGAGAATCAGACGGCCGGCCGGCCGGGACGAGGCCATCACTCCCTGGCGTATGATTTGATAAAACGCCAAGGCGTTCCCCGCAACGGATTGTGCACCTGTTGGACGGGCGAGACGGGCGTCGCGACGCGCTGGACGCATGGCCGCCTCGCCGCGCCTCGCCGCCGTCACGGTCCGGAGGGAGGGGCGCAGGGCGCAGCGCACGGACAGCGGCGCGCATCGAGCAGCACGCCGGCCAGCACACTCATTCCGAGAGTCGTTTTCGTCGCTCTGTCTCTCTCGCGCCCATGGGGCGTCTCGCATATGTGCGAGAGAGGCAGAGCGACGAAAACGGCTCTCGGGCTTCAGTCTGCTGCGTTCTCACAGGGAAGGGCAGTCCAGGGCAGGGCATGGCACGGCAGGGCCTACCCAAGCAGGGCCGAGCCAGCCAAGCCGCAAAATAGTCTAGGGGGAGGTCCACGAGGTGGCTCAATTGCTCGAGACGTGGTCGTCCTGGTGGTCCCCCTGGTGGTCCGGGACGAGGACCTCGGCGCGTGACACCCGCCGGAGCGCCACGTCGGCGGCAGTGCACTTCGCGGCGTCGCACTGATGCAAGCCTGCGCCCTGCGCCCCGCTGCGGCCTCAATCCGAACAGTCGCTCTGTCTCTCTCGCACCCTTGCGGGCCGCCCCGAGAGTGCGAGAGAGACAGAGCGACGCGGGCGCCGTTCGGAACGCGCCGGCTGGGGCTGCTGGACCATGGCCGCGAGCTGCGGCAGTGGAGAGGAAAACAGGGGCAGAAAAAAGTAAGAAGTCGAGCCAAAGAGCAGCGAATTGCAGAGTCATTAGTCGACCCCTATGCAGTCGCGTTGCAGTCGGGGCGGGGCGGGGCGGGGCGGGGCGGGGCGGGGCGGGCTACCTCTCCCCCACCCCTTCCGTCTCCAGTCATTCCGACGCTCACCGCTATGCCATGCTCCTCACCGAAAATAAAAGTTCCCACGCACCGGAACCTGATGAGGGAGGGGAGAAACGGCAAGGTGAGAGAGGGGGAGAGAGAGGGCGGGCGGGGGAGGGGGAAGGGAAAGGGGAGGCTCGGCCGAGGCGCGATGTTTGCCTGCATCTGTTGGTCTGCCGGGGGCTGCTGCACGGCATGGCCGGGCATGGCGTGCACGCACGCCGGCACCTGGCGCTGCGCTACGCTGCGCTGGCTAGCTGGCTGCACTCACTCGCAAAGCGAAGGGGCAAAAGCCAGCCAGCCGCCCACCTTCCCAGCGGAGCAGAGCGACCGAAGAGACGCGCTGGAGTGACGTCCACCGCGTCCTCGCACTCGTTGGGCTTCGCGAGCGAGAGAGACGGAAGGCGCGGCGAAAGAGAAAGGTGAAGGGGGCTGGCAGAGGGTCCTCCACCGTGTCCTTCAAACCAACGACAAGGGCGCCTCCCCTTTTTTTCCACATCCCGTTTGATGATGGGATGACGTTTGCCTCGACCCTCGCACTTACGCTTCCCTTCACAGTTTTTCCTTTAAAATTTCAATTGAACATTTTCTTTATGAAAAACTTTAAGCTTCCATTAAAATAACTTTTTTTGAACTTTTCAACTTTTTTAAAATGTTCCACCGGGCCATTTTTTCTGGAAGTTTTCAATTGGGATTATTTGCATTTGATTGTTTGTTGTTTTTTTGTGTCGCTTGGGACATTGGGACACTGCTCGTCCCGCGGACACCTCTACCGCCTCCCGTTTCCACATGCAGAATGCCGAGTGCACCGAGTGCAGATGCAAAGGAGATCCGCGAAATGCATTCGGGCGCCGCGTGTCTGGCGTGTCGACACGGCCTTGCGTCACCGCGGAGAAAGGGGTGCGCAGCGAGGTGGTTGGGAGGAGGCCGTGGTGGAGGCCGTGGGGGAGGCCGTGGAGGAGGCCGTGGAGGAGGCCGTGGAGGAGGCCGTGGTGGAGGCCGTGGGGGAGGCCGTGGAGGAGGCCGTGGTGGAGGCCGTGGAGGAGGCCGTGGAGGAGGCCGTGGTGGAGGCCGTGGTGGAGGCCGTGGAGAAGGCCGTGGTGGAGGCCGTGGAGGAGGCCGTGGTGGAGGCCGTGGTGGAGGCCGTGGTGGAGGCCGTGGAGAAGGCCGTGGTGGAGGCCGTGGAGGAGGCCGTGGACGCGCGGCAGATGAGGAAGGTGTCGAAACGAGGAGCACACGGACCGTCTGCCGAAGCGAGGCGGGGCAGGGGTTGGGGTTGGGGGATGGTTGCGACAACGACGAAGCGAAAGCCGTAAGCACCAGAGCCTCACGTGCTGCTGAAAAAAAATCTTCCTTTCGCGGTGTGTTGTTCAGGGGATGAATACCCGCCATGGCAGAGTCCCAGAGGTCGCGGCAGGGTCACTGTTT